AAGCTTCTCATTTACAAACTTTTTTAGCTTTGTAACCCTCCTAGCATCTCTAAGCTTCTTCGTTGATGATGCATGCTCTTAACTTCCAGTTACTTCATTTTCCATTTTCTTCAAATATTATCGAAAAATGTTTCTTTTGTCCACGATAACCGAAAACATTTTCTTACTTTTGTCTTTCTCTCTCTATTACTATCTCTCTCTTTGAGCTATTTTCCCTCTCTTCCTGCATCTGTCTCTCTCTCTCTCTCTCTCTGTATTTGTCTCAGAGAAGTTGCTGATTTAACACAAAACATGATTTATCCATTTTTGATGATCATTTGATTGTTCAAACTTTACCTCTTTACGAATTAATTTTTGTCTTCTTTTGCATCATTCTGATAACATTCTGATAAAAAGCTTCCTTAATGTTTTATAGTCCGGACATCCTGACGCTTCATGGCTCCAATGAAGTTATTACTTTTGCACTGTTAATATCAGCTGAAAATACAAATGTTTTGACCTTGTTTAGCAACCTGAAAACGTTGATGACCGGAAATGATGTTGTGAATTTCGTGTGTTAAAAGCATCTTCAAGGTTTGTCAACTGGTTTATGACAAAAATAGACAGGTAGAGAGAGAGAGAGAGAGAAATAAAGAGAGAAAAAGAGGGAATCGTAGAGAGAAAAGGTGCGTGACAAAGATAGAGAGAGAGAGATGACTGGAAGGGATGAAAGATGAGAAGGATTGAATAGGATTTGCAAACCTTTCTACACCTCACCCCCTGTTCCTCCTCTATATTACTCCTGAAGTAAGTGTGAAACATAAAATTTAATGTTAAATTATGATGATTAACTGATAAAAAAAAATAGAAACTGAATGAGAGAAGTAGAGAAATGGAAAGACAGCCATAGCATTGATGAGAATGATCATGGAATGGTGAGAGAGAGAAAGAGAAAAACTTTCTCTGAAGACATTTTATGAGCTTTATGTACTGATGGCCATCAACTTTGATTTGTTCATAGACCATTGTGGTCATGGACACGCAGACAATGACGAGGATGTTCCATTTCAATTGAATTGCTTGTTTCGATCAGACAACGTTAAGACCATGCCTTATAGTAATAGAATATCACGAGATGTCCTTTTTCAAATAAAAGAGGGCGTTTTTAACCTATGAACTTAATGGATATAAATTGGGCAGACAATGACACCATTTTCATCAAAATCTTATCAGTTTAAGCTTTTACATCAGTTTCTGCTGACGCCGATCAAAGATTTTAATAATCTTTAATACTTTGATTCCAAAACTTCTGAGGAAGCGAGAGTTACAGATAAAGTGAGTGTAGAAACATTCGAGATGAGAATAAGGGGCGTTATGCTATGTTTATATCTTTTTCATTGTATTTGTTTCTTTGCATCATATCACCTGATCATAATGCTTCTCTCACTCTGACGCATTACTTATTACTTACTCACCCTTACTGTCTATCTTCTCTTCTTCTTGCTTCTGTGCGAATATTCTCAAACATTCTATCCGCTTACATGTGAAGAAGAGACTACGGCAAGACTAACCGATCAGCGTCATACTTCAATCATCTGATGGTGCAGAAACAAAATGGGGCGGAGCGAACTCCGAAAACTGACAGAGAAGAAACGGCCGAATACAGGGCATCGTATCGTCAGTCCTGCCAGATTCAGGAGACATTTGACTTTACTTCCATCTTTTCATCACATTAATTTGGACATGAGCTTGACATATTTTGATTTCTTGGTCTTCTCATACGAACAAGACAGTTCCAAGAATATAAATGACGACGATATTATCATTAGAGTCATTGACCAAAGGAACTCCTTGTCTGTCCTTGCAAACTGGGTCTCTCTTATTCTCTCTCAGTCTATATATACATATACATGTTTCGTTTTCACTATTCATAGTTTCCATTCTGCTTAATACCATCTGATCGAAAACTCTGTAACTCTCTTAACATCTCCATACGCTTCTTCAAAATGATTAAGCTGTCTAATGCGCTTAATTATTATTTCTGAAAATCAACACAATCCGATTTGCATGTGTCAGGAAGTATCATTACAAACTTCTTATCAATTAATCGCCTGCTGACCTTTTTCGTGTTTTTGTCTTTCATTTTCATTTTTTGGCAAAAAATTAAATTTCTAGCAAAGAAACTACAAATTCCTGCTGTTTGATAATCTGATAAAGCTTTTCAAACACGTGGCTCCAACATACTTTCATTTTCAAATTGACTAACGCGGAAAGCGGTTGTGTTTTCGGAAATGAAGTCAGTTTGGGGAAATACCTCGATGCGTCACTTTTTTCAAAGAGTTTGTCTGCGAGAGGATGAGAGACTACAAGAGAGAGGGAGAGAAAGATACAAAGAGAGTGATGAAAGGAAAGAGAAAAAAGTGACTTCTGGAAGCATCGATGATTTTTGAGAATTTGATGTAAGAGAGAAGTGATGAAAATAAGAGAGAGACAGAGAGATCAAATGAAAAGTAAAGGTGATCAACGTATAAAGGAATTACTTCTCTCTACTTCTCTCAACATTTCTCTCTCTCTCTTGATTATCTATCAACTCTCTTTCCTATCCATGCTCTTTGAAAACTAAAATATTCAAACTTGACAATAATCCGCTTAGTTTAAATATGAATTGAGTTTGTAACGTAATAATTTACCAAATAATTATGTAAATCGTTTCACGTTCCAATATAGATTGTTTCCATATTTGGAAGTTCGTTGGTCATCCTCTTTATCATATAAGATCAGAATTCAAAGTACAAATGCTGGCACTATTCTATCTAAGTTGAGAAAAGGAGGTGAAGAAGCTGAACAGAAGAAACTGTGAGAGATAGAGACAGGAAGAGAGATAGAGAGTATGACAGAAAGCTTCTTTTTCATTTTCTTTTTTATCTCTCTTTATGGTTGATTTTCTTTATAGGATTACATCAGGTTGATTTGTTTTCTTTCTTTTCACACTACTTCTAATCAACAAACTTCTTTTCCTAGCTCGTTCAACTCTTAGTTGAACTGTACGAGCTTATAAGGTAAAGAAAATTTTTCCATCAGAAGGTTTTCCCTTCATCACTGAAGATCTCTCTATCTCTCTATCTATCTCTCTCTCTCTCTTTTTAAAACATGCATAAACGACCATGTTTGATTCAGCAGTTTTCAAAACATTTGTCTTTGCAGTTATTGTTATGTCAGCCAGCCTTTTGTACTTGTTTGCTCATTGACGAGATGAAGTTGTTCTTCATCTAATTGGCCTCTAAAAAATAATTTTATTTGTCTTTCTATTTACAATCTATGCAGATAATCTATTTTTTAACCAACCTTTTACTTATAAACGTGCTTTCTTCTATTACGCACTCTTTCTGCTTTGCTTTCACCTTACAGGCTCTGAAAGCTTTTTTTGTTTCTGCTTAAGTCACACACATGAATAGATAGACAGACAATGAGAGATAGAGAGAGAGAAAGAGTAAGAGAGAGTAAGAGAGATAGTGAAAAAGAAAATGTTCTTCTCTCGCTCATCAGCCTTATGAATCTCTTAATACTTTTATAAGCAATATGTTCCATTTGAAACCGTCAATCATTCAACTTCTTATTGGACCGGAAGTTTAAGCTTCTGCTTTCACATTGCCGACATGGGTGAACTCATTCATAAATGAAAGTTATTTGATGATCAAGCGATCAGTTTTGACATCGTCATCATCAACAATCTTTCTATTTTCATTAGTATCTTCTTAATTTTGTTGTCTTATCTGTTACAGTCCATCCAAGGCTTCTTGTTCGTCGTCTTCTTCTTCTTCTTCTCCAAGCCTCCTTCTGCAGTCTCTTTCTCACTCTCTCCTCTTCCTCTCTCTCTCTCTCTTGCATTCTCTTTATCGCGCTTTAGTTCTCTGTTTTTCGTTCCTCTCCTATATTTTACTATCTAGTAAAAGGATGGATGTCTTCAAACAATAGTCAAATTAAAGTTTGCCAGACACCCACATCTTCAACCTTGTGATAATTTCATGGCCAAAAATGACTTTTTGCGTCTATTAACGACGGCCATTTGTAATTCATAAATCAAATTTTTTTTTCATTACAAACGTATTTAAATCTCTTTTTTCTCTTTGTATATTAAATATAACACATTTGGCTATTGAAAAGTTGGTTTATGTGCAGCAATTGGTACTTGTAAAGGAATGCTTTGATGATGGTTCTTTACGCTTTACCACCTGTACTTGGCAATAATCGGATTAGACGAAAGTCGTAAAATGATTAAATGAAATATAGAATTTTTGAATTTTAAGAGAAGTCATTTGAAGAATTCTATTTTTTCGATCTCTCTCTCTCTCTCTCTCCCCAGATATTCTCTCTCTATATATACCTATCTATCTCTTGTAGTGCTGAACGATTTCAACATCATCTGTCTAGTATCGAACATCGAAGAGAGAGAGAGAGAGAGAGATATGAATAGAGAGAGAGAGAGAAAGATAGATGGTGAAAGAGGTGAAAGTGTTGAACGCAAAGAGAAACAGGGCTATCAGGTTATGATTCTACTGACTCATCACTACTAAGCCATTTGTTCGAATTTCCATTAATATTCTGAACATTTCCATAATTCTATGCTAATTTTTACTTTTTTTGTTTCAAACTTTTGTATTTTACCAAATTAATTTTGATTTCTGATTTTATCTGTTCGTTCATTATCTTCGCCACGTCTTTGTGCATTCTTCATTCTGCCTTGTCGCTTGTGGCTTTTCCTACCGTTTTTAGTTGAAAAGCTTGAATTATCATTTAATCTTTTAACTTTTTTTTCATCCTTGTTCTCTCTCTCTCTCTCTATCTCTACCTCTCTATCTATCGTTTTCTTGCAAAGATTTAAATTAAGAAGGCAACAATCTGTCCGTTTCAGAGTAGACAACACATTTTTAAAACATCATTGGAAGGAGGAGTACAACGCTACACTAACTAGAAGAATACCTAGACGATTTGTGGATACCTATTCGTTCATGAGATCCGAAATGGATTTTGATTACAATAGCGATGATTTAATGAGCGATTCCTATTCCTCTTTCAACTATCTGGAGCAGAAGCCTGGAGTTTCACAGCAAAAGATTGTCCGCTTAACAAGGTTCGTTTACAATACAAATCAAAGTTCAAAGACAAAACTATTTGTGTTTGTATGATTTTCGCTTCTTACACTCTACTACCTCTTGCTTCTGTCTGCTCTATTCTTAACAGTTATTTCAATTTTTATTTTTGTATTCTATACCATTTTATACAAGAGCAAATGATTATGGGCTTCTTGAATGATGATCACATAACCGCAAACATGGATCGTTCATCCCGTTCACAGAGTCATATCAGAAGCTGTATGAGCACCATAAATCGTGAATGTTTCCCATTAATGTCATCCTTTTATCATTTTAATTTACAAAAAGCGGAGATGAAAAAAAAGTAGAAAAAATTTTTTTCTTTATTTTTACTCGTTTTTTCTTTTCATTTTTATCACACAAGATGACTTTTCTCTCTCCCTCTCATCGAATCTCTCTCTCTCTTTCACTCTTTCAGAGCAAAACATTCTTTGTTCTGATAAGATTTTAATATGAAATGGAATGTAACATAACCCATTTTACGTCATAAACAGGTAGCATATTCATTTGAAAATGTTTTACAATCACTGATAATATTTCATTTTATATTCACTCTCAATCCCCCCCCCCTAAGAGAAAACCTTTTTTCCCACGCTAATTTGCATAACTTTTTGTGATTTCATCATATCACGTATGCTACTACTTCCACGTGTCCTTGGCATTCTTTTCATTTGCGCAAACGATTGAGCGGTTGTTCCTTCTCCTTCTTCTTTTCCATTGGCTTTTTTTGGATACAAATGAATGAGCTTTTCGCAACACACAAAAGTTTCAGTTTTTTGTTAACTTTAAACATCCAAGAGACCTCATCGACCGTTCAAATAAGGGAAATTGGGGATTTTTTGCGACGTACATAGATGTATCAAAGTTGAATATAGTCTTGTATAATATCAATACAACCAGTTCAACGTACCTGATATGGTTCGAACTTGGGCAAGGGGGGAACAAGGAGAGAGTTAGAGGTTCTACGGAAATGGTGAACATGAAAACGATAAGAAGAATAAAAAGAATTCTCATCGATAAATATTTTTCTAAAATAATAATAAAATTATTTTATAAAAACAAAGATCTTCGGTTAGGGGAGAAGAGGCGAAAAAAGAAATAATCAAGAAAAGGAGCTATCTGGAACAGGTTTTGGGGTTCTCTCTTGCCAAATTTGAACTACGTGTTGTAGAGAGAGAATAAGACAAAAATAAAGAGAGAGAGAGACATGCTCATCGCTATGAAAAGAAGGGCGAACACAGGCAGGTAACAACACAAGAAGAGAGAGAATCATAGTAAACGTCATAGATTTCTATCTTACCCCTACCCATCTTCCCCAACATCTTACCCAACCTGTACATCTGATGTCCCTCCTTCTCACCCCTCTACTTGCAGCTCTCATTTCCCGATTTTCTTAACTTCTCTAATTATCTTCTTAAAAGGTTATTCTCTATCATTTCATTACCATTGAAATGGAAAACAATATCAATTCAATCGCCGTTCCACCTGTGCTTCTGTCCTTTTCATCCAAAAACCATCTTTCCTTTTTTTTTCGTTCAAAAAAATCCGTTTGAAATATCATGATAAGATGAAGCTCTAGCGACATACATATCTTTCGCTTTCAGCAAGTGAATGATGATGCTAAGAAAGTTTCTTTTTGGTCTCTCTTTTAGTCTCTCTCAACCTATCTCCCTGTCTTACATTTGCTCAATTAATTATCGATTACTTAACTGTTTTTTTCTTCTGTGGGTAGTAACGATAGGGAGATTGTGTTCGTACATGTGTATTTGTGTATGTCTACCTTGCATGAGTGAGTGTGTGTGTAGTAGACCTTATCTGAACTGGAACAAGTTAGGGGAAGGGAATTAAAAATTTCAAAATGTAAAATGAAAAAAGAAATTTGCATACATCGACAATTGGCATGTCTAATTCTCGTCAATGTTATTTGTCTATCATTTGATTTCTGTATTATGAAGACTAATCAGGCCGGGCTGATAAAAAGTTCCATAGGTTAAGCTTCAAAAGCTTAAGAGCTGTAGGGAATATGGAATAAGCGTTTTTGTTAAAATTTCACGTAATTACTACAAGACGTGTGTAGAGCTGATAACAAGAACTGTTCGTATGAGGCTTTATCTAATCAGTTTTTTTGAGATTCTCTTCATATATACTGACAGTCACTAAAATTGTAATAAAAAAAATTATGATGATCGAGCTGCAAAGGTTGACGATTGTCCACAACCGCAACTACGTTTTCGGCTTGCTTTTTCACGATTCTTAAGAGAGAGAGGCAAGGGACACACAGAGAGGACTGTTCTCAGATTGAGAGAAAGGAGGTTAAGAGAAATTAGAGAAAGCAAATCTATATGTGAGGGAAAAGTGAACGTGGATGACTGAGAATCTCAAAAAAGAAAGCAATGACGAGGGTTTTTCCTTGTCCATTTCTCGTCATGTTTGAGTCCTTCTCTTCATCGTCTTCCCCCTTTCAATATCTCTAAACATTTCCCTTTCGCTTCTAATATTTACTTTTTTGTTTTCACGGAAAGAACGAAAAGAAAGGTCTGATGTGTAAGCTGGAAATGAGCTGTTCGTCTACTCTCCTTTGTCGTCCTATATTCATATGATTACCTAAATGAAATGTGAGAAAATTTAACAAATCGCTTCTATTCTATTGATTTTTGAAAATATTTCTTCCTCTCTCCTCACTCACTCTCTCTCTCTCTCTCTCTCTCTCTCTATCTCTCTCTTCCTCTCTCTCTATTCCTTCCTGTTTCTCTTCATGTTGAAACTATTTGATAACTGTCTCGTCTTCCAAACAGTATTAGCTAAAGCCACCGAATAGGCTTTGACTCATTTTGTTTTTCAAATGAAAAATTTCTTTTTTTTTCTTCTCTCATTCACAAATCTGTTGAGCTTTTCGTTTTCTGTTGATTTTCCCTATTTTCTCGCACCCCCACGTGAACTCTTCATGAATACTAAAAACGATCCAAAATGGGAAAGTTATAAAACAACATTGGTTTTCTTTCACTTTCCCATTGGCCACGAAATCAATTGAAGTCGATTCTCTTCATCGTTCCCCATCGTCTCTTCTTCCATTCCTTATAACTTGAGAGAGAGAAAACAGAATGTGTTATGAATATAAATAATTTTCAAAGTGTTAACGGTTTTAAACATTCATGATAACGTATTTTAATAAGTAGCATGACTGTTGTCTATTTGAAGTGTTTCAGTCGTCAGTAGTTTCTATTGCCATTTATGATTACAATAGAAATAGAAATAGAGAGACAGAGATAGAGAGAGAGGTCTGATATCAGTAATTGGTTCGCTTGTGTCTGTATGTCTCTCTTATCAATCCTTGTATCGTTCTGTGTGTTTCTAGCATTTGTAGTGAGCTGAATGGAAAGAAACTTTCAGAAGCTGAAGAGTGTTGGAAAGAAAGTTGATAGTTTCATTTGTGAAAAGAGATCGTCTCTTCTAAAACTTCGAAGCTCCTAATCGAAATATAAAAAAGAGAGAAAGAGATAGAGAGAGAGAATGAGAGGGAGACAGATGAATAGTGACTATAAAGAGACAGAGAGATAAGAATAGGAAGAGAGATGAATATCTTTTCTCTTATAGTAATAGCTCAATCAGTCATATCATTTTATCTTCATAATATATCAGCAACCATTGCAAGGTCATTGCTGTCTGAAGAAAGTCTCATTTTCGTTTCCTTGTTTATGTTTTAAAAATAAAAAAAATAAATTTAAACATGATAGTTTGTTATTGTAATTGATGTTGTTATAGGTATCCTCTGACTAGTGTTAGCCGTGGCGGTGACCTCATGCTAGCTGCGACTTCAGCTGCTAGTTCCGCCAATTCTTCCGTATCTTCATATAGTGTTAGAGATCGAAGTACCACATCGACAGCTACTTGTGCTGTTTGTGGTGATGGAACAGCTAAGCTTCATTATGGAGTGTTAGCTTGTTATGGCTGTAAAGGTTTTTTTCGACGAACCTTGACAGGAAAGTATCGATATGTATGTCGATTCGGCAATAATTGCATTGTGGATAAATGTAAGTTTTCTATCTTTTTTTTTTATATTTCTTTGAAACTTCATTAACGAGTACTTTGTGCCTGACCACTTCAAGGTCATCAAACTATATAAAATGACATGGCCGTGGACATATTTGGATGTGAAAATATTCATTTGAAATGACCGCCATCAAAAAAACTTGAGCTTATTTGGCATTTTGACTGATCATATGAAAAATGATTATATTTTGACTCAAAAAACAAATCCAAAGAATGAACTGAATTGTTTCTCTTGCAGATCAAAGAAATAGCTGCAGATACTGCCGATTTACACGATGTATCGAAGTCGGAATGGATCCCAAAGGTAATCGATTTGCATAAAAAAACGGTCCGGAAATGCATATCTTTGCAGCTGTTCGGCCGGACCGTGACATTACCGGAAAACAACGAGTACCGAGAATAAGAAAGAAGCAAATAGATGAAGATTTGCTTAACCATGTGGTAATATTGAGATCGACTATTTCAAAACGTGAATGATTCATTTGCAGATGAGATTGCAAGGAGATGATTGGTCAAGAAAGCTTCCGGTTGAACATCGCATTATGTTAATGCAATTGATGAACATTGAAAATAAGGTTGGTTAACTGGATTTTTGTCCTTTTTCAACTCTTATTCAAGGTTGCTAAAGGAGATTTGCCAAAAACTAACAGCCACAAGAACTATGTCAGAGATTCAAAAAATATTTCTTTGCGCGAGATGTTTGAACAAAAGCCTTTAATAGATGGTCGAAGAACCGAGGTTTGTAGCTTTGTACCTTCATCAACAATCAGCTGGTTTTTTGATTCAGATGAGTTATGAGCCTTACCGAATGACACGGACAGAAGAACTGTCCGAGATTGCTCATCGAAGAGCTATAGCTGCTGTTGACTGGGTCGAGAACTTAACAGAGATTGCCGAAATCATCTCAACGGACGATAAGGTTGGCTTTATATCCTCCCTGCTCTTCTCAACTTTTTCATCTTTTCCAGGTCTCTCTTGTGAAAGCTTGCTACTCGCCGTTGACTATCTTCAACTTTTCCGCCCGAACCGCCCAAAACACAACAAATCCTGACATACTGTGTCTATGTAGTCATTCATATGTTCCTCGTCAGTTACCTCCGGAATTCAATGAAACCAAGTAAGATTAAATCTGAACTTTTCAGTTTTCAAACAAAACCTTTAACCATTTCAGTCATTTATCGAATATTCTGATCGATAGAACTCTTAACGAATTAGTTGCTCCTCTAAGAAAACTGAGTTTGAAGGAAGAAGAGATTGTTACCTTGAAGTCTATTATCATTCTCAATCCAAGTACTGAACATAAATTTCTAACCGCTCTTAAACACTTCCTTACAGATGCCAAAGGCCTATCCACACATGCTAAACAAGCTATCGCCGATCTTCGAGATAAAATGCAGGACATGCTGTTCCAGATCGTCAAAGAAATCCATCCAAATAGCCCTTCAGGCAGCAGTCGATTCGGAAACTTGTTGCTTCTCTTGCCTACGATCACAGTACGTGAAACTATCCTAGCTGCAACCCAGTTCCTTATTCAGACATTGTCTGGATTGATGAGCGAGAATATGCAGTTTTGCCAAGCTTTTGGTGGCCGTCATAGTGGAGATCCATTGCTTTCGGAAATGTTTGGAGATCAGAAACCAGTTTTCGATGACTCTGACATGATCAGCTCGTCTGTCAGTCCTCCACTTTTTGATCCCGCCGATATTTCCTTGCAGGTAGCTAGAAAAGGGTATTAAATTGATATGACAATAATAAAAATTGCAGTCGATCTCACCACCACTATTGAATTCTCCAAAATCAGTAATGGCTCGTCCGCGCGTATCAAGAAGAGAAACTGCTACCCAGACTGATCTTGATCGTTCAAGCAGTCCATTATCACATAGTAGAAGTAGTAACTCATTAATAAGTGGAGGCTATTCCCCTCCTGTAAGCGTAAGTTCCAATAAACATAATCGTATTCATAAGCTCTTATTTCAGCTTTCAATGAATTCGCCTTTCCATACACTACTTGATGACGAGTCATTTTCACCCGGAAATGACATGGTTAACGGTTTAGTGGATCTCGGCAATGGTGACCTCTTTTCGCTGATTCAGTAATCAACAACATAAACAGCTACAATTAAGCTATCTCTTTCTCTCTCTCCCACCAATATGTATTAATCAATTGAAAAGTTTGTTCTCATGTCCTTATTCATTACCTGACTGGCACGGTTCTATTATTTTCACTTATCTCTTATGTTTAACCCTTCTTGTTATGGAATTAATTGCCAAATTTGAAGTGACTTGTACAAAAGAAAATCGGTTGCTCGCTGATCGTTTAATATATTCTCACTCAGAGCCTATGACTCTTATACATATACATGATATAATTATATACATATAATTATATTAACAGATGACTATTAAATACCGTGATGGCACGTGTTTGCTTACACGGTTTGTAACATATTCCCAACATTCTATTTCTTTCTTTCTCTCTCTCTCTCTCTCGCTCTCTCGTCTCCCTCACTTAGCCTCGAAGTACTGTTTTCGTTCATGTCAAGTAATATATATATATATATATATATAAATATATATATATAAGCTTAAATTAATCGCTAAGTTCACTTACCCATTATGAAACAAAAAGAGTTTTTAGAATGTTTTCATGCTGATACCAGATTGTTCCATAGTTGTATGACCTGAAAACTAAAGTTATAAATGTTTATTTAAGCTTTAAATTGTTTATAAAGACAGAAGTGAAGAAAAAAAAAAGATTTTTTCCACCTATATCATCTCAAGTGCATCGATACAAGTGTTGTCTGTTAAGTCCGAAACTAAAGTGAGCAGACGGATGAGTCGCAAAAAAATTTTAAAACAACTTCCATTCGCAACGATTCTTACGCACAGCTTCTTACATGATGGAAAAACCATTGAGAGATCAGAAAAGCACTGTCAGGCTTACAAATTTTCAAAATAATCTTGACGATGCGGATTAAATTCTATAATTACATTTATATTACATGAACAAAGAACACCATAAGTCAACAGATTTACCATAACTTCCATTCGATGAAGAACAGGTTGGCCCAACTTTACGTGTCAAGATAAAACATGACGTCATATTCCAAACAGTCAGCGCCGAGCTCGAAGCACAGGAGCAGACATTCGCGCATGTAATAAGAAGAATTGATTTCTCAAAGTCTGCAAACCACTTTGCTGTTTTTTCGATCAATGGTCGTTTTCATTATTTCTGAACCACGTGTCACGTCAGTTCACGTTTTTTACGTGGGCTCAATGTGTATATGTGGAATACGTATTCTATTCATAATTCAATGAGCATACAGTGTGTGGTTGCATTCATAACTCATCCTCCTTCAACAACACCTCATAATTATGTTTACTGTAATGAAAATCTATTACTTTTCTAGTTTTTTTTTGTTTATTTTGGGAAAAAAATTCATTTTTCAGTACGACTTACCTGTTATGAAGAGAATAGGAAGAGAGAGAGAGAGAAAGAGAGAGAGAGAGATGTTGAATAAAACAGGGGACAGATTGTTCTATCTTTTACCTCTTAATCCGCTCATCACAATCGATTAGCTGAAATGGATACATAGTGTTTTGAAATTTTTGTATATTTTATAAGTTCTCACCTATTTCTCTTTTTCTTGCACATGAATTTGCATGACATCATAGTTTAGTTCTTTACTAGATTCATGTACTCATCCATATCATCTTCGCCATCATCGTCACCTGCTTCATCAGTTCCTTGCTCTTCAACTACCTCATGTGATCGTCAGTGTGCCGTTTGTGGAGACGTTCCAGCTAAAGTTCATTATGGAGTTCTAGCCTGTTTTGGCTGTAAAGGCTTCTTCCGTCGAGCAGTCAAAGACGGACGTAACAAGTATATCTGTCGTTTTGATAAAAACTGTCAAGTGACTAAGTGTAAGCTAAAATAAAAAGAAACACATTCCAATTTTACAACTTACTGTTTTTCAGTTGAACGAAACGCTTGCAGATACTGTCGATTTCGAAGATGTCTACTAGTTGGAATGAACCCCGATTGTACGTTACCTTAGATCTTCCTATTTCATGTGAGGTAGTTCAGATGTCAGACCAGATCGATTGGAAACAAAAAAAAAACAACAGAGAAATTTGACCAAGAAGAAAAGCTTGAGTAGGCAACCGTCCACAAAATCGCCTGATGATTGGACCAATTTGCTATCGATAACACAGAGGTGAATTATTCTTAAATCTTTGTGATCTTTGGCTTTGCCTGTTCTGATTCTTAACTGATTCTCGGTCCTTGTTCAGTCTTATGTGTTGACATTCAGAAATTTGCTTACCACCCTCAGTACAATTGAGTCTCACTTGCAACAGATTGAACAAGCAAACTATGATACCATTGCCTTTTTCTCTCTGGGAAGTCTTTTGGCGGACCGATCATTAGTCCGGAAAACTAGGGAGGTACGGTGTTTCACAAACGTTCACAAATCTAAATATTTTGAAAATGATTTCAGAATCGCCCGTTTTCCAACAATTCATCAAGTAATGATGACTCCTCTGATATACTGAATATAGAAAGGATTGTCTCAACAGTTGATTTCGTTGACAGTTTGTTGGAAAGCTTAATGGATGATAGAAGAGTCTCAATTGAAGATAAAGTTAGTTTCAACGACGTTGCTCACCTGCGTTCTTTCTCTAGTGTGCTTTGATGAGTGAGACTTACTTAACCGTTGTTATGCTTGACTTCATGTTGCGACAGAGTGCTCAAGGATCACATAAAGCTGCTGAAGAGTTTTCCAGATATTGTCCCATAAAAAAAATGTTAGTTGGATAATTCTGTCAGGCATATGAATCAAAAGTTTCAGATCTTTTTCATTCTACGCTTCTCTGAATAAAATAACAGAGTTATTCATGAGATGTTCTCTATCACCAATGGAGTACTCCCTTGTTCGCGCTTATGTCATATGTACAGCAGGTTTATCTCACTGTCATCATTGCTTTATCAAAATATTATTTATTTGAAGATAAGACAATGCTTTCGAACTCACTAGGTAATGATTTACTCACCTTATCCGAATCTTTGAGCGAGCTTTTGTTCCGTATCATAAAAGGAAGTCGACGAGTGAGTAGTCAGACAGCAGCATCCACTTTAGCCACCATCATTTCCTTTTTGCACCAAATAAAGGTATTAACTTGCTTCGTAATTCGTATCTCAATCTATCTTTCAAGGTTCTTTCAAAAGAACTTCACTCGCAACTAGCCCAGCAATATCCTCGAGAAAGACCTAGGAACATTCCTTTCCAGCACATCATTGAAGATCTCTTGAATCCAGAAGTATCTGACCTCATTGCTCAAATGGCTGATGGGAAATCCATGAAAACTCAACAGTCGGAGCAGCTGAAGATTTGCGAGTTGTCTAATGCACCACAATTTGAAAGTCATTCCATTAATCACAATGACACCTTTCGACATCCAATGGATTATCAGTTCACAGCCCCTTTGCCCATTCGACCATCAGCTTTGGGTTTCTCCTCGAAACTTCCATTAACAATTACAAAATCAATTGAAGTAGGTAGCTACTGAACGAAAATTATGAAAATTATTTTTAAGGAGATGTTGAGAGCTCCAGGAGCAGCTGAAGATTCCATACTTAATCGTCCTCTTTCGAAAGATTGGGCTGATGGACTACGATTGACTCCTGTGTTCAGTAAAGACGTTGTAGCTCAGTTTTTTCCCGAACTATCTGAAACATGATAAATAGGGGAGAAATACCCTTTCATCGACGAAGGACCAAAAAAAGAAAGTCGAAGTACTCTATATAGTACGGAAAACTTGTTTAGTGAAGACATCCGTTATCTTTGTAATTATATGGTAATAATATTTACGATAAAAATTTCAGTTCGTTGAATTTCTTTGTCAGTTGAATCAGGGGGCAACGTTGATTCAAGCTTTTATTAATTAAAGTGAACAATAATAAAGATTGGAGGTATCATCAGATGAAACATAACAAGAACAGAATCTAAGCACAATTGAATTAATACAGTTTCAAAAACTTTTGAAAGAAGCGATTATTCCTTCTTTTCTTCTTCATTACCATCAGCAGTAGTTTCCTTTGGAAGAAGATTCACCATTTCGGTCCCTTGTGTTTCACTGTAATTTGTGAAGCTATTAAAATCTGATAATTTAGATAAGAACCTCTTCTCTATCTCCTTCTTCTTTCCAGCCTTCTCCAAGTTACAGTTCTTGGTTTCTTCCAAGAAGAAGTAAGCTACAGCTACGTTACTAAGACCGAGGACGATCGAAATCATATGAACTCCAGGCTCGTAATAAGTTTTAAGTCCGGTCTATAAGAGAAATCACCGTTTTTCGACATTCTAAAATATATTACCAGCATGGAAGCTCCAATGTTAGCTATACGACCAACAATTGAGCACGAGGCAGTAGATGTGGCTCTAACATCAGTAGGCATCAACTCAGAGGCGCACAAATAACATGGTTCCCACACGATCGAAGTGAAAATGAAAGCTCCCAAGTAGACGAAAGTATAATACCACTCTCCCTAAAAAATAATTTGGAAACTGCATACTGTCCTAATTACCTTTTCTTCCATGTAGAGGAACAGCACAACAAAGGCGAAGAAGAAAACAGCCAGCAGCTGTGAGCACAGAAGCACGAAGCGTCTTCCCATCCAGGGGAGGAAGCCATCTGCGAACCCCATGATCTAGATAATTTCTTCCTAATAATTCTTCTTCATGTTAAAATTACCACACGAACGACGGAGAGCAGGATACCGGATAAGAACTGACCAACCCAGAAATTCTTCGTCATGTCTCCTCCGCATAAATCAGTAAGATAGGCAGTCATTCCAGTTACGAACCACCTGTAATCATGAGCTTATTAGAACTTTAATACTATAAGAAACATTACATGACCCAAAGAACGAGCAAGTTTCGACGAAGAGTGGAATCTTTGAAAACACCGAAGATAGTGACAGCCTTCTCTGGTACAGCTAACTCAGAAACGACTGGGGGTGGATCCACTGTGAAAAGAAAAATTTTTGAATTCAGCAGAACAGTTTCTTACTTGGCTCGAAAGGAACTCCAGCAAGCGCCGCGAGACGTTGTCTACTTTTCTCAGACTCCTCGAATCTTCCCTACAGAGCAATGATTGTTTAAATTCAAATATCAGAACTCTACCTTCTTTCTGAGCCAAATATGGCTTTCAGGTAAAATGAAAACGACTATAGCGAAAGTTATCAAGGAAATAACTGCAGAAATATAAGATGACATTCTCCATTCTCCAGTTAGTAAGCAGACGATAGTTAGCATGGTACGAGCGTTAGCCTGAGCAAGAATTGGTGACATTGATTTCGGTAACGATATAAATTACCCAGTTACTGAAGGTACGCAGTTTGAATCTTTGATTAGGAGAAACAAGTTCGGAAAAATAAGCCCATCCAACAACCATAGTACCAGCTATAGCGATACCAGTAACAGCTCGGAGGAAGTAGAACATAGCGATACTGTTGAAATAACCTGCAAGTTTCACTTAATACTTCTCACACAAAGTATAATCATACCAGATAAGAAGAGAGCAGGAATACCCACAATCATAGAGATTATGAAAGTCTTCCGTCTTCCAATAGCATCAGCAACATATCCCAAGAAGATATTACCAATTAATACTCCAACGTACTGAGCAAAAGCAGGTCGGAAGCTAACAGTAGAAAAAGAAACTTGAGAAATGTTCTGATGCCCTTACTCTTTCCATCCATCTTTGCAGAAAATTCCATATTCCATAGCTGCAGATTGGTAATAAGCATGGGAATACTTGGTAACACATTCCGCCTGAAAGAAAGGTTTGAATCTTTTGATCCTGGACCATCATAGGTGACGACTGTTTGCTCTTCGACACTCTTCCTCTCGTCATCTTTTGATTTCGCTGTTCATAGACAAGAATTTTCCATTTTTTGGTACAGTAGTTCCATGCAAACAACCAAGTTTCGTTTAAACGTTTCGAACCTTGTCGGCTTTCGAAGTGGCATTGAAACATAAATCAGGGCAATCAGGGCATTCCATACATTTATTTTTGGGGACGTAATAGCATCGCTCTCCTGAATAATTTGAATAACAGTTGAGAACTTTGACGGAAGGGCTCACCAACGCAAGCAGTCTTAGGTGTGTAATTGAGGAAGACGGGGAAAATTTGTTGAATACTGAAGAAGTGAGTCATTTGGTAAGTAATTAGGATGAGTACATCAACCCGGTAAACCCCTGAAAGCAATTCAAGTTCGAAAATTTGTTCAGAGTTCCTTACCGGGAGGTATTAATTGCATGTTTGATTATTATAGGTTTTCCCTGAGTGAGCTGTCCTGAAATTCATAATTTACAAGAATAATACGGGAAAGTGTTGAAAAAATGAAAACGAAGCACAGTTATGCGAACAGAACAAGGGTTATGTCAATGAAAAAAAGAGCGGACATGGGAAAAAAATAATCGATAAAGAGCCAAGTAGGATTACATGAGATTTGCTCTTGTGAGTTAAAGCACTGAGTGAAACTTTCTTTCTGATTCTAATAGTGAAAGAGAGAAGTGGAATGCACTAATAGTCCTTGTGATCTGAATCAGAATGGACAGTCCAATTTTCCCAAGTAAAAGATCGAAAATTACTGTTTCTGGGAGAGATGTTAGATGTTTACTCTCTCCATTTCACATAGTTCATAACAAAGAGATTGATTGAATGCAAAAAAATTGTTATACAACCAGTAATAATTGGCAGTAAATGTCCTTGGGTAATAGGGAAATGAGGAGGCCTTGCCAAGTTTGGAAATATGTGAACAAGACTGAGATTTGGCCCGATGCCTCGCGAAAATTCTTTGTTTAAAGTCATGTAGGCATATTGTGATTCCCATTAGGAAGAGAACGCGAAACGCTGATTAGAAACAATGTAAAAAAAAACTTTTTGTAACTTGAGAAATCTGGCGTACGCGAAACGTTCAAATCATTTGCCTTATTTGAAAAAGTGATGCAAAAACTGTTATGAAAGGACTAGAAGTGCGTCAGTGAGTAAGGACAGAGCAACAGATGGCAATTGACAACAGAGATGGACAGAGAGCATAAAGAAATGCAGTTGGACCTTCACTGCGGCCTTTGAACATGTGGACCGCTGACGTTTCACCTACTCATTGTGGTTTCTGTTACAACTTACGGATTATCTGACCTGGATTATGAGGAAAAACCAATTCGAGATGCGAAAAATAAAAATGCGCAAAGGAATCCTCTTGAGGCTCGAGAGTAAATAGATTTTGTATTTTTGAATTATTTGCCATGGAAATTTCACGAACTCCCGTGTCACCGAATAGTCTGATGAATAGGAAGGTTCATTTCCGAAACGTAAACTCTGATTTAGAACAGGAAAAATGTTTCTAACCCCAAAAAACTTCAATCATTCTCAGAAAAAAGTGTATGTGGGAGAAGAGAGTAGCAGCTGTTGACAAGAAGTAGCTCCATGATCGAATTTCTCACAAATTGAAAGGTATTCAAGTTCATTTCTTCGTAAAAAATGACAATTAGTAACAGTTGATAAAAAAAACGTTAAAGTGTACGGACCAAAGTGATTAATTTAAGGATAATAATTAGACATATGGTATATCTAAGTTAAAGAACAATTCTAAACAATAAAAAATATCAAAAACCCGTTTGCTGCAAACTCAAATACCCATATGCAGTCAGAGACCAAATAATTCAACTTTCAAAGTTACTTTTCTGACTTCTCTATCTAGAAACAACAAATTTACGAACTGGAAAATCAAAATAACAAACCTCTTCGTATCTTTTCCTCGTCACGTCTAAAATAGCATCTTTGGAGCTCGTGATAGGCTTCGAAGGATCTGTATTATCAGAACCCAAACCAGCGCGATTGGCTTTCAAATTATTAATAATCTTAACACAAGTTTAATCAAGTAACAAGAATCGTGTCTCACCGGTTCAACACGTCCAGCACTGCTTTTACCCAACCCCTCTCCTTCTTTCCAGCCCATACCTTTGAGCAATTTGAATCCTTTGTTCTCGGAACTAACAGAAGAAGCAGAAGCTCCTTGTTTTGGAAGAGGGACTGATCCTGCACAGAATAAAATGAGAACTCGAAAAAAAAGAACTCCAACCAGGAACAGGTCTCGCGGAACAATTCGCATAGATATTATTAGGATCAGCAGGACCATTCGGTCTACTAGCCCGCTTAATGTCTATCTCTGATCCAACTTCTTTCCTTCGTTTGGCAGCTCTATCAAATCCACGATTTACATGCGAATCAGACTGTAAACAGATTTTGAAGTTCAGTAAGAACGCAGAAACTGACTCCGCCGATAACGCCAAAAGCTGCCTTCAGCATTTTCAGATTTCGCCTTCTTGCTGTTTCACCACTCACAACACGAGAGACGGGCTGTTCTCGAGATTTCAATAATCCGGGCTCACATCCATTACACGTATTATTTCCTAAAAAATAACATTTTTTGTGGTTCGTACAAATGACAGTACCATAATGAACATGAATATACAATCTAGATTTTCCAACCCTCAAAAAATCTCCATGAACTATTTCCCTGTCGTCTTCAAGCTGAAATGAGAACATACACTCTTCAGTGTAAGGAATATGAGTGGACCTCCAAATAAAAATCATTCAGTGTTACAGAAGCTTTGTCAGATATCTTCTTTACTATATAGCATGAACTTTCTTGCACATAAGAAAATTCCAGAACTTTCTGAAGCAAAACTTAATGAAAAAATGAGTTCAAAAGCTTACGGGAGGCAGGTTGAAATCATTAAGTTCTATTTCGAGTTGCTCGGAAGATCCCGCTATACCCCCTGTCATAGTTATTACAAATAATTTGTTAGTTTCATCTATTATCCGGAGGCAGGGAGGGTGTGAGAAGCCTTCCTCTGAAAACAATAACTCAAACTTCGCGTTTACACGAATTATAATTTGACTGAAAGTACGCGTAAAGTTCACGTGAAGTTTGTCATTCTATAGCTATCGCAAGCAAAATATCGGTTGATCAAATTGTTTTTTTTTCGAAATTTCAATATTATATTCCCAGGTACCTTGTTTCAATCGCTCTTTTTGCTCAGCAATACTTCCGTCCCATCCTATAGACCAATATTCATCAGAAGAATCACTCAAACAAGGAGAAAGAACTGTAAATCTCCAGAAATCATCTGTACTACTGCGCGAACTTACCATTATCCACTTCTTGATAAATAACCAAATTCGGATCTTCAGTTTGAATATACTCTCGACCTTTAGGTTTTTCATCTCTACCCTTTTTCTGAAAATGTTTCGCTGTGTTTTGATATATTCAGTTCTCTGATTTACTTTTCTCGTTTTAGCCTCCAATACAGGCATGTCAAGATTGAAGTACTGAGGGCCGCCCGATATTGAATCAACCATCCCAAAAACTACTTCTACTACTTCCACCGTTTCTTGACTGATCTTGCAAAAATTCTCGCCAAAGAAGTCTTCAGCCCAGTGTTCGTACTTTTTGTTTCTCCATTTCACTAGAAGCAAGTCATTGAATCTTCAAGCAAAACGCCTTACATTTTTGAGCGCATCTATATATTTCATATTCTCTGGTTTCATCATTGAAAACGTAATAGGTCTGGTTATCGGGTGAATAAAAAAGTCCCGTGTTCTGGAAGAAAATCATACTAGAATGGTTTCAATGAACGTAACACATACAGGATCGTAGAAAAAATTCGATTCTCTGGAATAATATTGCCCATATTCCGAAATCCATTCAAAACCATCAGGCACACGTGAATGATACACTTCCGTAGCAGCCTGACGAACCATATCAGCTATACTCATCTAAACTTTAGGGTTAGTTCGATCAATAAATAGTGTTTTTACCCCTCCTGATTCGGAAACGAATCCTCCGCCATTAGCGCTAGCCATAATGCAGTAGGAAACCTAAATTGTGAACTAGGCGCTGTATCTAATTTGAAACGAAAAGAGAATAAATTAGTTATAGTCATGAAGGCGGGACTTCCTGGTTTATTAGAAAATAAAGTACAACTGATTTCCCATATAACGATGAAGCTGAGAAAGTTGGAAAGTTACGGATTACCAATGGTTTTGAATTTAGCCATAGCGCGCATATATCGCAAAGGAGCGCGAATCATGATATTAGTTAACGTTTTGATGACCATGTCCCCATTTTGAACTTCGTTCAGTAAAGTTACGGACATATATCATCTCTCGACATGATAATGAGTTTATGTCCATCATATTATGGTTATTATTTGATTCCCAGTGTACATAGTACAAAAGTTTGTATAACGATTAGGCTGATGAAGTGATATTGCATTCTCTCATTCAGTATCGTTCCATCAGCCCTATCCGTCTAAGTTGGCTGATAAGAAGACATCTTTTTTATGTGTGCAACCTACCTAGAAATCAGTTTCCTATTACGTTTGTTTCTTGCCTTGTCGTTTCTAATTGAAATGACAGGTGTTGTTTATCTACTCGTTTATCTCTACTAAGCAAAGTCTGATCACGAAAAGTCAAGCAGTCGATTTCCCAAAACGAAGAGGACGTACTTTGTACAGCTTTTTTTTTGTCAATCTTTACCCAAGTTTTGTTTGTTAGATCTAACATCAACGTTTGCCTTAAAATTAGTTTCCCATCTTACTTCAAAAATATACTTGTGGGCGGAAATGCCGACTGTCGTTTATTTCTTTCTGGCAAATCACGCGATTCAATTTTGATCTCAAAGCATTCTTTATCATTCTTTCTGCTAAATGTTGTGCTTTCTGATTCATATTCTATTGCTGTGTACTCGTTTTTCTTACTTGGTCATCAGACTATGCTGTTCTCTTTGATGTTACATCAGACACGTTTTTCTTCCAGATATGGCAGAGGAGGACATTGCAGTTACCAAATTTAGAGAATATATTCGTATCGATACGGAACACCCGAATCCAGACTATGGTTTGTCTTCTAAATCGTATTCTGAAATAGTTTTATTGCCAACTTCTCAGAGAAATGTAAGGATTTTTTACTCGATCTGGCTGGCGAAATCTCCATACCAGCTAAAGCTGTTTATGTAAGTTTTGTTTTTATATCCTTTCTCAACGTGTTTTTGTTAAGACCGATGCAACACATCCTTTTGTGATCATGACTATCCCCGGAAGCAAACCCGATCTCCCATCCGTTATGCTCTACTCACATACGGACGTAGTGCCAACCTTTAAGGTAATTGTCATCCTAATACGATTTCCATATCTTCTTCTTATAAGGAGCATTGGACATATGATCCTTATTCGGCTCATAAAGATGAAGAAGGGAACATCTATGGACGTGGAACACAAGATATGAAATGTGTCGGATCTCAATACTTTGAGGCCATTCGACGTCATTTCTTGAGAGGCAAGAAACAATGGACTAGAACTATTCACATTGTTTGGGGACCTGGTTGAGTTTTCCAATTATCGATATTTTATTATCTTTGCTTAACTTCAAGATGAGGAAGTTGGTGGACCGATGGGAATGGCTGCCTTCCGTTTCACCGAAGACTTTAAAGCCCTTAACATTGGCTTTGTTTTGGATGAAGGCTTAGCCACCGAGGAAACAACATATAAAGTTTACTATGCAGAGAGGTGTCCATGGTGTAAGAATAAGGAAGCACTGAGCAATTTGTACATATATATATATTGTTTGTAGGGGTAAGAATTACTTGCGAAGGAAACCCGGGTCATGGTTCGAAGTTCATCGAAAACACTGCAGGAGAGAAGCTGGTTAGTTTAAAAAAGCTGTTCTGTTAATTCACAGGAATTGTGTTCAACATAATTTTGGCTTTTTTCAGCAATCTGTGATCAACAGCGCTTTAGCTTTCCGTGAAGAACAAAAAAAAATCATGATTGAGAATGACTTAACTCTCGGTGATGTGACCACCCTCAATTTGACCGTTATTAATGGAGGAGTACAAGTCAATGTTCTGCCAGAACAACTATCCTGCTGTTAGTTTAATCATACTGAATAGCCTTATTTTGATATATCTCCCTTGCAGGCTTTGATATTCGTGTTCCACCTACAGTTGACTACGAAGAGTTTGATGCCCAGATCGCAAGCTGGTGTCAGAAAGCCGGCCCTGACGTCAGCTACGAATTTTTGCAGGTTTGACCTTTTATTCAAAATATTCCCAATGGTTAAACTCGAAATTTCTTCGGAGAAACTCAAAGATGAAATACTACGAGCCTTTATGTTTTACAAACCTTACAGACTAGCCGACCGACTGAGCAAAAGACCGTAGATTTCGTAAGTTGCCATACTACTGGGATGCACTTTAATAGAACGTTCTTAAGTCTAAACGCATGATGCTATTTGTTTTTTAATACTCGCATGATTTCAGTCATAAATTCACATCAATTTTAATTCATTCTTTTCCAGAAGAATGAGAACAAAAATATAACGTCTACTAGTTTGGATGATCCTTGGTTCGCAGCTTTCGATGCCGCGCTCAAACAAGAGTTTGAATAACTCTTCAAGTTCCTCATTGTATTAATTTATTTTAGGGCTTGTGAATACTCCACTGAAATCTTTACTGGGGCCACTGATTCCAGATTCATTCGTGAGGTATTAGCGGAGGACTTAACGAGGATGAAATATGTGTTTCAGCTCGGCTATCGCTCAATCGGTTTCAGCCCCATGATCAATACTCCCTCTCTTCTGCATGACCACAATGAATTTTTGAATGAGAAGGTTTATTTGAGAGGAGTGGAAATCTATGAAACATTGATCGAAAAACTTGCGGAAGTGCAAGTGAATTAAGTGAAATACCAAACTGATAAGTTCAACTGTGATATGTATTATGTAACATTAACTATGATTAAAGTGTCTATGATTAAAATTTTATTAAAGCCAGGCATAAGTACACGAATGGAATAAATGCAGTTGCGCAATATATTGACATAGGTTCAAGATCTAACTTCAAGCCCAGACATATCCAGAAGTTTCCCCATTACAGTTGTTTTTAATCCGAACCTATAATCACAGCAAATCAATTAAGCTAAGTTTGCAAAATGTACTTCTCAGTCTGTTGATTTATTTTGTTCATAATGGATCTCAGACGGATCGAAGCATGGCATAAGATCATGAAAATTGGGAGTAGTACGCTGAATCATTCAAAAAGCTTTACACTCACTCAATAAGTTTCTTACCAGAATAAAAATTTCAAAAAGGAAGATAAGAACATAAGGAATATTTGGATGGTAACGATAACAGCTCCCCATGCAATATACTTGTGATCCCGTCGTAGCTGAAAAAATTGAATAAGTTGTATCAGTTCTTCTTTTCCTCAAAGAGGACATAATCAGATTCCGATCTGCATTTTATGGAATGAAAATAGTAACAGAAGCAATCGGATTATGCTAATTCCACACAAATATCGTATATTTTCAATAGTTACCTGCGAGTAATATGGATCAGTAGTTAACATGAAGAAAGTCATTGCTAGAGAGAGCAAAATAGTAAAAAATCCAAATACGGTATCCTAAACTCCGCCAATTTAGCATAAAACAAGTTGAAATGAAAAACCTGGCCACAGAAAAAGATTTCGAAAATAAATAAGCAGAAGAAGCTGAAAAAATAATTGGTTTGGTAGTATAGAAGGTTAGCAATGATCCTGTTCTGCCAGTTCGATAAGTTACTGTACGAGGGATGCTGAATGCAAATTACAAATCAGAAATAACGAGAACATATCGTTACCTCGTATCTGGATTTTATCAGTAAGAAATCACTGAGAGAGCGGAAAGAGGGTAGCTCAATACCACCACCAAACTTATAAGTTTGTTCAACCATTTCTATAATATATTTAAACACGTTTGACTAAGAAACTTAATGAAGAAACAATGGAACTGGGGAACCTCGAGGAGAAAAGATATAGTTTGAACTGCACATTTCGCAAACATAACAAGTTTATAAGAAATAATTTGTGATGTAGGTCTATAGCGATCAGATTCTTATTGATTTCGCAACCCTTTCGAATGAAAATATGTTTTTGCATTAAATGACCATATGTCCACTTTATTTCACAATTTCATTTTATCTCCAATAGTTAAAGGATTTCACAACAATTGGTCTCGCAGCGAACAATCCAGTCTACAGTAGGAATTTTCCGTCGCGGTTCCCAAATTTCAAAATAACTACCAACTCGTGGTTTATTCGCTACATGCAGTCGGAGCGAGGGGTTCTGCCTGCTCTTTTGTTGACTTTTGCTTGCTTTATGTTCTTCTCGCCGAAATCTCATTATATCTTCTCCAGGTAAAATGGTTAACGGTTCTGAAACCCTTGGTGATCTCCTCAAGCAAGGAGGAATCATTGGTGAAGGCTCTAACTTGGCCCTTCTCTCTGATAAAATCAAGAGAAGAATCTGTGCTTTGAAAGGTAACCAATTGAAGAGCATTGAGGTGAGTCGTTTCGTCATGGTCTTGATTAAACGCAGTTTTTTGGTAGATTGAATCCAAATTCTACGAAAAGGTTCACAACTTGGAGAAAGAATTTGAAGCTGATTTCGCTAAGATCTACAAGGAGGTGTGTGTTGAATTCGTTTCTTGAGTTTGTGCCTATGTTTTTTTTTTTAAAACTGATTACCAGTGTTTTCACTAGTAGTCGATGTCATGGCACGAAAGCAATGTCGGGTTGCAACCCGTGTTTACTGATTACTGTAGATGCGTTACTTATTTCTGACTACAACATTATAGAGAAGAGACATCGTCACTGGTGAACACGAGCCTACCGAGGAAGAAGCTAACTTCCCTCTTCTCCATGGAATGGACGAGGAAGATAAGGCTGAGCTTTACTCTCGCTCTTCTCCTGATGATGGAACCAAGGGAATCCCAGCTTTCTGGCTCCAAGTCCTCCGCAGCACCGACGGTATCGGAGAGGTCATTCGTGAGTGCGACGAGCCAATCCTTGAACATCTTATTGACATCAACACTGAAGTCAGCGTATCACCACCAGTATGTTTTATAATATGGTATATTGTTGTAATACAGTATGTTTCAGGGATTCACCATCTTCTTCCACTTCTCTCCTAACCCATTCTTCAAGAACACCATCTTGAAGAAGAAATATGAACTCCAAATTTCTCCCGACCATGAGGCTCCATTCGATTTCGATGGACCAATCGTTTCCGGATCTACTGGGTAATCGAATGCTATGAAATGTGTCTTATTATTTTTTTTAGTGACGTCATCGAATGGGAGGAAGGAAAGAACGTAACCAAGAAGGTAGTTAAGAAGAAGGCTAAAAAGGGTGCTAATGCTGGGCGATTCCTTACTAAAACTGTCCGTATAGATAGTATTCAGACTCTATTTGATTGTTTTCAGGTTCAAAACGAATCTTTCTTCAACTTCTTCACCCCAATCGACCCTGCTGAGGTTAATCAAGAAGCCGCTGATCACAACGTATGTTATAAATAGGACGCTGTCAGTAGATGTTCTTTTTCTAGGAGAAGTTGGAACTTACCAGAGTTGACTACGAATTAGGACAACTTTTGAGAGATCATGTTATCCCAAGAGCTGTTCTCTTCTACACCGGAGAGAATGATCTTTCTGATGACTTCGACCTTTCTGGCGTACGTTTTTTTTTCAATTTTTGTGGCTCTGCCACGAGTAAACTTTCTGGTGAAAGATCTTGTTTCAACTGCTTTGTCTTCACACTAAAGTAATTCTGTACGTTTCAGGAAGATTTCGAAGATGACGATTCCGAGGAAGATGATGGAGATGAATAAACTCTGAGTCTACTCCTAAAAGCTTGCGGAGCTTGTTCTGTTATATCCCTGTTATTCCTCTCGGTTGACTTTGCGACGAGTAATCTCTGAAAATCATCGTTTCCACAATTGTTGTTGTTAATTTCTTGCACATAATAAAGTTTTAATTCAACATTACTTGTTCATTTTCGGCGTTGTTCGCTTGATATACAACTGACATGAGTGTGCACATGAACACAATAACTAGAAAATTTGTAGAACATGGCTGAGTTGAAAGCCGTTCTTGAAGTTTATGAGACAGTATGTGTTGAAGGCAATTTAGATGACGATTCTCATATTCTATATAGTCTTGAAGCTCACGATGCCATCACATGCCGATTCTTACTCAAAGTGTATTGTAAAGTCGGGTACCACATTTGGGAAAAAAGTAACTTCGGCGCCGGCATCTGCCCAGATCAGAATATGCTTAAATTTATTTTCGGAAAAGTTATTAATCTGATGGATTCCGTGGATTTGGAAGCCGGTATGATCTTCTGGTGCTCCTTCTTGAACTATTCACTTTATTTCCAGGTGAATGGCTGGGAGGTGAATGTAACAACGGACGTCCAATCCTACGAGATACAGTTTTGATAACTCTTCTAGCATGTGCCTCAATATTCGACAGTGAGATTTATATTTGTAGGGCTTCCAAATACTCATGATTATAGCAAAGCATGCATCCGAAATGGTAGAAACACGATTCCAGCGGTATTTCAACAATTCCAAAGAAGTTGTCACCAATTTTATGGCTCAAGATGATCATCTTATGGCGCTGGGCATCGCTACCTTAAGTCTGAAGAATTTTTACCAGTCTGCTGCGGAAAGACAAATATTTGTAAACTAAATGTTTTACAGCGGGCGGTCAATCCTATGTTTTCATGAAATCTCGACATTTGTTTTGATGACAACATCTTTTGACAACACAGTAGGTCAAAGATAAGATATAATCATATCACTGTTCATGACAGATAATTTTGGATTGGATAGAGAACAATGTAAGTTGTCTGGCTTTCTGTATTCGTTTTCTGAAAGAAATTGGAGGGTCTGCAACTTCCACAAAAGAATGGGATGGCTACCTGGCTGCCTTGCATGACAAAATCAAAGAAGGCGTCTTCATGTAAGTAAATTACATTTATGTTGTTTGCTCTCACTTTTACTTCTTGTTTACATTGCGAATTTCGTAAAAAATTCGAATTTATCCTAGCCTCCGAAAAGTATTTTACTGTTAAACGTATTGATTTTCATACCTTTGTGAACATTTTTCACGGCTTAACCGGAGGTCTAAAGAGTTTCTTTACAGACCTAAAAGTAACAATGGAAGATGGGTGACAGAACCACGAACAAGTAGTAATGACATCATAATGAAAGTTAAGTCCATGAAAAGTTCAAAAGGCAAAATTGAGCAAATTAGATGTCGAGCCTCTGAATCAGTAAGCTAATTTGACATTACTTACTTTGAACTTTTTAATTTAGAAGCACATATTTGTGGAAGAACCGGACACACTGAACTACAAGGACGATGATTATGATGACTTACTAGTTCGCATTTATCTCTGTTTTTTTGCTCTCAGATCTGACATAATGGAACCTAAGCGTTCAAGTAAAATACCCTTTGACCCTCAATATCTTAATAAGCTCATCAACTCATTTGGTGAACAAGTGCAATCACTAAGACAATAATTCTTTTCTTTCCGGTGACTTACGTGTACTCTGCTTTATTGAATAATCTCAACTACTTATAAAGTCGTTTTAATCTGTAAAACTTTTGGTTTTCAAGGAGCTATATATTTTTCTCGCTCTGAAAGCTGCACATTTGGAAAATTTATAACAAAAAAAAAGAGAACATGAGATCACAAAGCCAACAGACTCCAAAAAGCACTGAAGAAATATAAGAAGTTTTCTTTGAGATCAGAAGCAATCAACTACCTCGTTAAACCTTAATCATCAGAAGTTCTTAAAGTTCCGCATTTCCGAATTACCTTAATACTCAGATATTGGCAAGGATCGGATCTTCTTTTTCATCGACCGCATCCTGAATGGTTCAGTAAACCGATAGTTTGTGCCCAACAAATTGAGTAATGGACCACGCTTCGATCGTTCCTGCAACATATTGCCATTTGAGAATTGTCATTTTCTCAATTGAACACAAAGTCAGAAGCTTTTCTATTCCAAATCTTCGATTATGTTTGATGAAAGCTCTAATGACATTCTTATTTATCATTTAACTCGCGCCCATAATCCAAAACTGACATCACTTTCGCGCCAATATCATTTCTTAAATGAAGTAGTTAGGAACTGGTTGTTCTCATCATAACTTCGTCAACTGCAAAACGCAAGCGGTTGCATTCATCGGAATGTTACAAAAAATATATTATCTTCTCGATTTCAGTACATTTCACCGATAAAAAGTGTGATATTCGAAACATTTCGCAACGTGATGGGAATCCAAGCTGGACACTCGTCAAACATTTTCAAAAATTTACGAATTTTACGTATGGGCTTGTGAATGTTTATTAAGAAAATGGAAATGAACTTTACCGACGGATAAATATAGTTCATAACATCCGTGTCAACAAGAGATATTAAATCCTGATTTCCAGTAAAATTTATTGGCAGACAGATGATGAGATTGATGCTCAGCAGAACAACTACCAGTCGCAGCATGCTTGAAATTGTAAAGGAAGTCAGTTATTTACATTGAAAATTAAAAGAAAACATGATCAGAACAACTTTCGGAAATTGAGTTTTTTGTTTTTCCTCAATTGTGTTAGTTTCAGTACGTGTAGTAGAAAACATAAATGAGGAAAAGTAAACTGTGTGATAGCTAATTGAAGAGATTAAGCATATTGTTTTCTTTTGAAGACATATTTCACTTCCCTAATTCGAGAGTTTCGGAATGAAGAGAGGCATGTGGGTGTATATTAGAGATACTCCGTTTCTATCATTCCATTGCATTTTCTTGCAAAACTCTTCATAAGGATAAAAGCTTTGATGGAAACTGGACTACTATATTAGAAAAGGATTCCATTTGAACGATGACAAAAAACGTAAAAATAATGAAATTACGATCATGCTCGCTTAGAAATGACTAATAATATGGAGTTGCTCGTCAAAAATATGAACATTAGTAATCATAAATGTTCTAAGAAGAAGAAATCTGTGTCCAGTCTTGGCAAAGGATCAGACCGACAAGCCTAACAAAGCTTGGCTCCTGACGTCATTGGTGAGAAGTTATAAAACAGATTAACGAAAAAAGTTTTAGCACAGATCTAAGTCAAGAGCAAATTCAATAAAATAATTCGTATATTGTGAAATGGAAAAGAACAAAGTTCAGGCGGTTTGTGCAAAATTGTTGCAGTTAAGTTAGGATTTAAATGTGAAACCTTGCTGAAGTTCATTAATCAAATGACTGATTCATCTATTATGATGATGAAGAAAATCATATGCTAATCAGATTCAATCAAGACGCTGATGACGACAGATACGAAGAGAATGATCTACTTTGATAGTACCTGATGAGGTCGTTTTTGTTTCATTTCAAACGCAACTATGAGAGGGCCAAACAAAAGAACGAATAGATAAAAGGTCTTGAAGTACGCGCCCTTCCACAGAAGACAACTTATTAAGAATAGTGGTGAGTATTATAATATCTCGTTTACAATAAAAAGTTTCGCATGATTGTTGAGCATCAACATCCAAAATATGGGGGCGGCAAAGGAGTGAGAAAATTAAAAATTTCAGCTAGCGAAATGTCTCCACTTGGGCAGAACAGTTCAATTAGTGACGGCCTTACTCATAGCGGGATGGACCTATAAAATCCAAGCGGCGTTGCTTTAGAGAGCAACGTTTGTCAAAATAGGTTTCTCACAATAAAGTTCTAAAAGCTCACATGCAGGGTCATCTGAAGTTTAATGAAATAATTAAGATCTTGAAAGGATTTTGTTAGAAAATGAAACAGATCTTTGGATGAAGCAGACATCTCATAACAGGATTACGGGAAATGTCGCCAGCAGGAAGAAACTTCTACTGATTACAGCTGTATGCTGAAGATAGGTAAGTACTATAGAGTGGGCAATGGAGAATAAGTATTCACATGCTGACTAGAGCATTCTGTGCGAGAAAAAAAAATAGAAAATGGCAAAACTAATAGAATTTACTTTGCTAAAGGTTACATAGCTAAAGCATCAAGCTGGAATACACAATAGTCATAATGCTATACCTATAGATGAACTCAACAACAACAAATACGAAATGAATAGATGAAAGATGTTAGATAATACATATCTTACATGTATATATGTATATATAACTATGTCTGTGAGCATAACACCGTTTAACAACGACAAACAACATAAACATCAACAAAGCTGATTGGGTAATGCTAAGAGAAACATTTCATTTAAGAACTTCAATTAATGCGCTTTTATCTAAAATTAACTTTTGGCTTAATCGAGTTGGAAATCTAATTTCCTAATATATTCTCCCATTTTGTTTTTATATGAATTTTATTATTGAAGGTGCAGAATAATAAAAAGTTATTTAAAACCTTAAGAGCATCATTACTTTATAAATCCTCGTCATTCAACCTCCTACATCTCTTTCTCTCTTTTTCTCTCTCTCTCAATTTCCCTCCCTCTCAGTGAATTGGCTTCCATCAAAATCTAATATTGTCGTTAACAATCCGGTTAACCTTTACAAAAACTCTCATGGAAATGAATCATTTGAATGATAATCAGAAGAAAAATTTTATTTTTTTCCGAAGGAGAATAACGTACATAACATACTTCACAATCCGATTGTTCAATTCAATTTCATTTATAAAGCTTTAACAGCTTTCAAAATCTTTTCAGACACGTAAACGTGTTCGCATCAAGTCTCATCTATTCTATACTGAAGTTCAACAATGAATAAAATAACTGAAACTCAAGTGTTTTCGAAAATAAAATCTACATCTATCTCTCTATCTCTCTTGCTCACTCGTTGGTCACAAGCGAGCTTACCTGAACACAACCGTTTCGTACAAACGCAACAACACAAAATGAGAGAAAAAAACGAAATGAGCTTGTGTGTATGTGTGTGTTATGATACGTCATTAGCATAATGGCATAATGAGCCAACGAATAAAACTATCGCAATTTTCATTTCGATCGACAATTATCTCTCATGAATGATTAGTGTTATAATGAAAAATTGTAGTAATAGTTTGGGATAAGAATGAATTACATATCCCCTCTTCTCTCTCACACAAGAAAGGAGTTATGATCTGTTTGTCGACTCATACATTACATTTATCAGCCATCATAGTTAGTTGTTGGCAAACCATAATGCATACTGTTTTATATGAAAGTATGAATTACGTATAAACAAATGAATGCATGTTCAAAGACTTTTTTCTTCTAAAGAAAAAAACAAATAAAGAACCGTTGTTATAAAAACTTGAACATAGATAGATTTGTAACATTTCTATGATTTTACAGCAGGAAATGACCTGAACAAGGTAGTGTTGCCTGAGTCACGATGGTCAGAACTCACTGAACCAAGCTTAAGTTCAAAACTCATTTGCCATTTTTTCGCAATTTCTAGAGGGTATAGCACGAAAAGCTACATACATCTGGATTTAAGCTTTCCTCAACATTGCTCCAGATAGAGCACACTTATTTCACGTGACCAGTTGTGGTCCAGTAGTTTCGAGAACGAAACCGAGTCCGAGAATGTTTTGCTCTTCATGTGGTTTTTGATATTCGAGTTTAAAAAGAGTGATGTTGGACAAGAAACAAACCTTCCATAGCTGAAATATGTCTTTTTATGCTAATTTTAAGGTGTGAATTAAACAAAAACATGATCGAAAAGAGTTCATTCTCCCCTTATTTCCATAAAATGAAGAGAGTCAAAGCGATTATTTTTTGATGAAGTATTACTACACTGGGACCATGTATAATATTTATCACAAGAAGGATAAATATCCTGGGAACTCGGTATTCCATACGGGTACGCTGCTGATGTACGGTGCAGAGCAGTATCATTTCAACAGTCATTGTATAATATTGGTTAGTTAGAAGGCTATTCATTAAAGGTTAAGAAAGAGATTTAGACGAAGAAGATCCTGCGGAATGTTTTACTGCCGTTCTATTTCCTTAACCAGTTTTCTAACTTGACCAATTTGTATGATATAGCAACCACTTGATAACATCATTATCGAGAGACTACAAAGTTGATGTCCGGATGATAATTCAATGAAACTTTGGGAAAAACAAGTAGATCTCTCGCGCTATTCATCTTCTACAAACGATTCAACAGAAGAAATAAATTATTTATTTTCTGATAAATAATGACTTCTTCATCTGCGAGATGAGAAATCACGGACGGTTTTCGTTTATGGGCTTGGATAACCTGCTTGAGGTTGAACTTGGCTCTCGGCTCCGCCACCTTCAACCTGAAATTAAATTAAAAGTGTTTGCATCATTCATGAACTTTTTACAGCTTGAGAAAGAGCTGTTCTTGGTGGGCAAGGACAATATGCAGCATCAGACCCTGGAGTTCCATCAGCTCCGGGCTCTCCTGGGGCTCCGTCTTGTCCTGGTCCTCCGTTATTTCCAGGAGCTCCTGCAGGTCCAGGTGGCCCGGCTGGAGCGTCTGAAGCTGGAGCGTCTTGACCAGCTGGTCCAGCTGGTCCTGCTTCTCCTGCTGGACCTTCACCGCCAGGAACGTTCATCATTCTTACACCTGGGGCTCCATCTGGTCCAGGGCCTCCTGGAGCTCCTGGATTTCCGTCAGGTCCTGCTGGTCCTGCTGGTCCTGGTTCTCCAGCTGCTCCAGCTCCTCCACCTTCGCCATCCTTGAATATTTAATCATTTCAAACAACATTGTTTTTTTTGTTCACCTGTCCTGGGTTTCCATCAGGGCCTGGTGGTCCTGGAGGTCCGTCAGGTCCAGCTGGTCCTGGTTCTCCAGCGGGGCATTTAACACATCCATCCATCATTGTCATGAGCATAGCCATCATTCCTTCCATACCATCATGTCCAGCCTCTCCTGGTGTTCCAGGTTCACCATCAGTTCCTGGTTGACCAGGGGCTCCTGGGGGACCGGCAGGGCAACCTGTGCTAGATGCGGCGCAATCTTAATTAAGTGTTGGACATGTTTTCAGGGATCAATATCTTACTGCATTGCTGTGATCCACCAGCTTGTCCACCAGGGTGAGCTCCAGCAATGCCGACAGATGCTCCGACACCTCCTTCGCTGTATTGACGACGTTGACGAACGAATGGTACGTCCAGCATTTGCTTCCAAGCATCATCAGCGTATCCCTGTAAAATGAAAATTAGTTTTTCAATCTGTATATATAAAACTCACTTTGAACTCATCTAAGTCAGATATGACATCATCATAGAAGCTGTTAATATCGGACAACATGGCAACGGTTATGCATAGAGCAATACCAATAGCCAACGCTGACGCCGCACATGTAGCTGCTAGAAGGCCCGACTGGGTACCCATGTCTTTTCTCAGACGAACTAAACAATCTTCAAATACATTGTTTATATATTGTGTGTTCAATAGTAGAATCAAGTTACCAAATCAAGATGGTATAATGCTTATCCCGCCTCTCTCTAGGATTAGGATGATTGGTCGACAAACCGGCTTACTCCCCAATCATACAGCTTAACATACAAGCCAATGTTCTGCCTCTCCGAGCAATAAACAGAATGAACAAGTTCAAAAAATAAAAGATTTATTGTGAAGTACTAAGAGCAGCTACATATGTCCAAATATAATATAAACAGTCGCATAACGCGTAACCAGTATGCTTCAGAATACGTACAAGTTGTCGCCTCACTTCCTTCTGTTATTTCCCATTCCCATAATCATCGCCATACGCATGAAGATGTTAAGAATATCCATATACAACGATACTTGCCTGAAAAAACTCTATGAACAACTTCAATTATTCTACACCCGAAAGGTGGAATCGAACCACTGCGACGCTAATCGCCTACAGGTTTGAAGCCTGCACTCCGGACCACCGAAGGTCATTCGGGCAAAACGTCAAAATAAAGTCTTGTTTATATAGCCAGGACTAACTATGCGACGTACTCAATACGGGTGTAATGTTACTTGTTCTAGAAATTCCATAATTCAAATAACTCACGCATTAATGGGATCAAAAGCAGGAGCTGCAACTACTCCGAATGACTGACCAGGGTGAGGATGCATCTCTGCTCTTTTTATTACTTTCTGGGTATCATAGAGAAGGAATGCAGAGAAAAGTATTAAACCACCATAAATGACAATGGAAGCCAAGCCTTAATCAGAAAAGTAAAACTAGAACTATTAAGTATCATACCAGCTCCCAAAGCACTTCCTGGAGGCAAGAAGAAAGATCCGATGTTAGCAACAAACACAACGCCCAAACCCATAGCAAGTGGGCCGCTCATCATAAGGAATTTTTCTGAGGGAGCAGTTATGGCCGTTGCTGATAGACCTTAAAAACACACGAAAACGTTATAACTGCACGTAAGCTAAAAACCTGCGACTATTCCTGCAGTATACCAAGCGGCTCTCATCAGCACAGGACCTCCAAGAAATACCATTGGTGCTAAAACAGCGCCCATCGCACCTAAACCAAAACATGAGAGTGGTTTTGAATGTAATGAGACTGAACTATTATACAACAATTATCAATTGATCATGTAACATTCCAAGACTTTTATATATGTATATATCACTCACCACAATGAAGCATCCAAGCTAAATGTTTCGGAACTGAGTTTTCATAAGAAATCGATTGACATAGCATTCCTGTGCCCACGATCACAGCCATTGTAGCTATAAAACCCTGGAAACACCGAATAGGTACAGTTATTGTTTTTTTTTAATATATATATTTTTTTTAATATATTACCATCAATCCTCCTGTTTGAGAGAGCCTCATTATAGCAGCAGATCGTGACGCAGCTACAGCACTTCCAGCAGTGATAGCAAGCCCACTACCCAGGTAAGCATAAGTAGATGATATTCTTTCGCGAACATAACTAGGCCATAAGCTGGAGAACAGAATGTATAATATAAGAATGAGAAAGAAAGACAAACGCGCTGTTTTGAAGAATACTTTGTTCTTTGGATATCAATCCGTAATACACAAGCGCTCCAACACCAAAAAGCGAAGCTCCGGCAAGAGCATAAGTTCCGTACAAAAAAGCTGAAAATTGAATCATTATGATTAAAACCCAACCATACTCACGTCTTCCTGTGGTTGGTCCTAGCAGTCGTTCTTTAAGAGAAGGACCTGATCGAACTCCGATTCCCTAAAAAAAATTGAGATAAGATTATGCTATAAGCAACTTACGCTCTGAGTAAAACGTTGGAACCCACTGGTTGTATTCCCTCCAAAACGAGCAGACTTGACTGCAGTTTGAGAAAGAAGCCTTACTCCAGAAAGAGTAGTCACACGAGGTAAAGTTAAAACGAGTCTAGACAGCATTTTTCAGACGAATAATACTGAAATGAAACTGCAAGTCTTATGATGAAAATGTTCTCAAATAATAGTCACGATAGTTGACGTCAAATGCTTATGAAATATCTAAAATCTTCCTTCAGAACAATATTGCGAAACATCTTTAGAGCACGTGATTAACCATGGAGCGCGGTTGAAAAATGCATCGGAAAGTAGGAAAAGCTTGGAAATTTCAATACAATATTTATTTTCTAGTATCAGGACTTTATCACATAAATCATCATAGTCCGAACCCTCCACGACATGTGGGTGCAGAAGAAGCATCTTGCTGAGCCCATTTACTAGTAGGAAACGCTTCAATCCTAAGCGCATGAACGCCTGATTTCAACTCATTCGACAGACAATCATTCACTAGCCGATGACGCTAAATGTTTCAACATGTTCGAAGAACTGCAAAAATTACCTGCAAAGTGGTGCACCCTTCAAACCTATCACTAACAACCCTCACAAGAAAATGTTTCTCAGAACCTTTAGGGACGTTGTGTAAGTGACTCTCACATACAACTTCAAGAAACTTGGGCTATAAATAATAAGTTTTCTTAAATCAAGTGGAGAAGCATACAGTAAAAGAGATTCGGAGCTTCTCATATATCTGCTTTCCAACAGGCCCAAGTATAGATTGCATTCTACTACAGTTTTTAGAAACCACAATGCACTTATAAGTAACTCCTTTTGGAACTCCATTTGTGCAACAGTAACAAGAAATTTATGAACAACCTTATTATTCCGGCAACAAAAAACGGACCAAAACAACAAGAATCAAATTTAGCGGAATCTGCGGAAGACAGTGGTGTTTCTTCTCTTCCAGTTCTTGGCTTGAGATCCTCCAGTGGTGGCGGCGAATCTCCATCCCTTTCCAAGACCTCTGGACTTCTTGGTGGCAGAGGTAAGTCCACGCAATTCACGGTGCTTGTGGACTGGCTTGGTGATCCATTGGGTGTCTGGGTTACGGCGGATGGCCTTGTGGAAGGGATCGATCAAGATAACTTCGTAGAACTTGTAGATGGAGTCTTGTCCAACCCAGTATGAGTTAAGAACACGGAGAGATCCGAGACGACGTCCAGCACGTTCCTACAGATTTATAACATAAAAAACAAGGAAGAAATTTAAATAAAAACCTCAGCAAGAGCTTGCTTGGTGTGGGCGGGCTTAAGCTCGTTAACTCCATGAGTTTTTGGCTTTCCGTAGGTTTGACCCTTGGTGACTGGGCGTTTTCTGTTTCCTCTGCGGACACGGACGCGGTATACAACATATCCTAGAAACAACACAATTAATAAAAAAAATCACATTAAGAAATAATAAAAAATGTTACCTTGCTTAGCACGGTATCCCAAACGACGGGCCTTCTCAGGTCTGGTTGGGCGGCTCACGCGGTGGATAGAAGAGAGCTGTCTGTATTGCCAAGTACGGACGCGAAGAAGGTAGCGGAAAGCATCGGACTGCTTCTTGCGCCAAATTTCTTGCATGTACTTATATGCACCCATGTTCTGAACAAATTTAGAGATAAAAAAACTAACAACTGAAGCAATAAGCTACATAGGATGAGTTATCAAAGTTTTATAAGCCACATTATAGAAACAAGTAATTTTCATTCGAAATTAAGTTTAAAAATAACCACAAAAATAACATAAAATCACATAAAAACAGTAGGATAGCTTCAAACAATTTAGGCCTTGGGAGAATATCTCACAAATTTTGCGACTCAACGATACACTTCCATACACCCTGGCGTTGTTTACCGTAGTTCAAGTTGCGATGGGGCGCGTTTCTGACCAGGCGCAACGAGTATAACCATTACCCATCGTGTAATGTCAAGCAGAATGGTAACCGGATATAGCGTGCATAGAACTTTCTGAGTCTTCTTATTAATATTGTAACCACAGACATGATTAACTGTAAAATAATTAATTGTATTTTTGCGTATTTGCCCTGAATCGAGAGCTTTGAATATGTTTTATCGCTCATCTTTTCATTTAAAAAAAACCAACTCAGGGAGCGGTTGAACTCAATTTTTCAATGCTCAGTATTTTTCGTTTGTTCGAACTGTCTGGTTAATAAGGAGAGTATTTTATAACTTGGTGGTTGTTTTCCAGGAGAAATCGGATTGTTTTATACAAGTCTTTTAACATTATTCCTATCGTCCATCTTTTTTCAATCTCTTCTGATGTGCAGAAAAAAAAAGAAAAAAGAAGACTTCAGCAAGGTGACTGCCGTGCCAACTGTTCTCGAAAAGAGCTAGAGGTTTTAGACTGTTAGCGACACGCAAAAAAGTTTGACTAGTTCGAGGAACAACTTAAATTCCAAAAATAATTCCCAGAATGGGCTCAAAGGTTCATTCATCAACACTGTATCACTGTTGGATGTTATTACTTTTATAGAAAATGTTTGTACAGAAGTTCAACCAAACCAAGAGAAAGCGATATTAGTTATGAATTATCGGGACGAACTTGCGATAACGGAGAAAAAAGGCGAATAGACAAATGCTCAACAACTGAATGTTTTTTTCAGAGGTTAACTATCTAGAAAAGGCCGCTGCAAGAAGAGGTGTTATATTGAATCCAGAGAATGTTTTTTTTTGTGGGAATTTGGACGATATAGCTATTGTGAGCATTATACCCGTTCGATTTGATTAGAATTCAGTATGTAGGCTAAGAAGAACCAAATAATCAAAGAAATTGATGAAATGGCGGAAAAGAAATCATTTAACGTCAGAAAAGATTTTACAAATAAGCAAGTAAGTCTCTTTTTCCACATAAAAAAATACAAAACTCTTGAGGCCTTCATAAACGAAAAAGCCTGTAAGTTGTATGAGATTCACGATGACCCAACCGTGGAAGAGGTGGATTCCTTTTCTGATCTTTATTAGCTTCAATGTGCTGCGCGCTCCCTCTTTTTTTTGTGTTTTTGTTCTCAATTAGTATTCACCTGTACAAATGTGATAACAGAACAGCCAACGAATAAACCGCTTTGACCTCCCAATTCTGATATGAAGCCGACTACTGAGGTGGTTCGTACTTCATCATAATGTTCAACCTGAATTAGTTTCTTATAGCGAAATTGAGAAGGGAGACGAGAGAAACCTCTAGGTTATTAAAAGATGCTTCTATGCGGAAACTATAATTTGTGGAGGGCGAGTAGTCAATACTATTCATGATTGTCCAGCTGTTATCAACTCTTTCACATGCAGGTTGACACTGAAACTTATTAAAATTTCCCTTGCAATGTCTTGCAACCTACTCTGTTCTCAACTGCGGTTGACATCAACTTCAAATAATGTTCCACAACGACTTTTGGCTCACAGACAGGTATATTTTTCACATAAGGCAGTGTGTCGTAAAAATACGGGAATGAGCAGTTCACAGTCCCAATAACTTCGTTCTTGAGCCAACTTCTTACAAAACAAGTACCCTTTCCTTAATTACTGGCATAAGTAATATTTGTTGGATGGCCTCACCTTGATTATCAGGGTCAGTTGAGCAATCGTTACTTCCAGGTAACATTGATATTTTCTTTTGAACTAAACGAAGTCGGTTCCAATCATTTTCGTTCAAATAAAGTCGTGGATATAGTGAAACCTCAGGGTTCTCATCTCCCATATAAAGGACAACCTGATTCTGTATACTGGTGCGTTAACCCAGGATTAATTTGATCAGCATACCCTTGACAATGTCTGATTTACCAAAAGGCTCCTTGGATTCCTAAAATATATCGAAAGTTTATCGGTTTCGTCATTATCATTCTGGTAGTAAGGCGGCTTCAATCGGAAACATCTAAGTGATACACCTTCGTTAGAACAATGGAATTATGGCCCCACCTTCCTCTCAACATAACATACTGGGGCTCGAATATTTCACAACAATCCAGTAATTGTGAACCCGCATAACAGCTAACAAAAAACTGAAAAACCTTTTTCATTTCGTTCAAATTATAACATTATACTTCATCACATTTAAGTCCATTTTCTCCGAAAACAAACCGGAAAAGTTCCACAATGGTTCGATTCCCTCTCCATCTTCCGTATAAATTATCCAACTCCCTTCTGAAATTGAGATTAACTCAGATATTTCCTGAGCCCTCAAAATTTCTATGATTTAGGCATTTCTACGTTTTCATTTTGCTTCCGATGCACGGAACAATCGGTTGCAAACTTAGCCATCAACACATAGTCTCAGTATCAAAGAAACGAACATGTATTCAGAAGAAAAAATATCCACATCCATATTATCGAAACCTGAACCACCAATCATGAAACGAAGCAAGTCATCAGTAACGTTGCTGTCCAAAAATCCAATGTGCATTTCAACATCTTAAGCGACAGTCTTTGACAACCAGACAATTCTGATACCTTTATAAACGTGTTCATAGTCTATGCAATCTGGAACTTTGGGACAGAATGTTAAGGTAGGAAACTCTAAACGTTTAGTCTGAAATATTCTATGAACTCTTGTAAGTATCTTTATATTACTGGAACTATCGTTATGTGAGTAGTACTTTGGTGCTCGTTGTATTTATTCATAATATATGAAGTAGTTCCAATAGAAACTCCAGCGCAAACAAACATAATTAGGAAATAGAAAGCCTTCACATATAAATCATCAGTCTGAAACGAATTCACTTTTTTACATTATATTTTGAAAAGCCCTACCATCATAAAGGCTGTAAGGCCATGCAGCTCTCTTAGCCAGGGATATCGGCAGTTGCATTTGAACTCTGCTACTGTCTGGGCGTCTTCATCCTTAGACACATCCCGAGCTTGAAAAGCAATATGTCCACTTAAGAGAATTAATTTTAATCTAAAAGGTCGAAATCTTACTTGATAACGCTTAAGCGCCTGTTGTCATCGCAAGACATAACAAGGTGTTTACATCTACGGAAGTATGAGCAGTTTCGAGGTGGATCCAATTACGTTGGCGAAAGGGAACTTACCTCAGGAACCATATCATGATTTATTAATCGAAGGCTATTGGCTAACATTGAAAATCATCAAACATTCATTTCTAGAACAAAGCCAAAAGCTTTAAAACCGGGAAAAAAATCGTATACATTCGATTAAACATATTGTAAAACGAAAAAGGCAAGATTTAATGTGAAATAACGTTATTGGTTACTCTCATGAATTAAGAGGTAAGTTTCTTCCAAGCTGTCATGATATTCTTACGACCTCTTTCTAACTCAATAGATCGAGCCCAATCTTCGAACAAAACTTCTTCTCGCAAGTTTCCAGCAGCCATCAACCTACAAAATGATAGAAACTGATCCGAAACTAATCTTATAAAAGAATACCTGCAAACGATCAGAAGTTCGTTTAATAGATCACTTTTGTCAGCTGTTTTATCCAATTCTTTGCACATATCAACGAAGCTGTTTTGGATAGCCTTAATGTAGACAAAAGTTTTGAAGAAGTAACTATTAGAACTCACGTCACTAGTATCGCCCGAGATTATAATGTCTCTCACTTTGGATTTGGCAACCAAAATATATTGGCGGAAAAGTTCAAGTTCTTTTTCATCTTTTGTGAATTCAACATTTCCAGTGATCGCTGGTACTTGGAAAGGAGTCTAAAAAGTAACAATTTCAATCAGAAAAAAACAAATAAATCCGAACCCTCAGGAATCGAGATGTATCGGAAGATAAAATAACAATAGGAACATCAACGTCCATCGGAATCTTATAAAAGCCGAAATCGAAGCTTAGTTTCTGTTCCAAAATGAATTCTTCCAAAACTTTCAAGTTTGCCTCCGCTGCAATGATGAAACTACTAATAATCCTCTTTGATTACCTACCGAAACCAGACACTGGGAATGAGCCTGTAGGCAATTGAGTTTCATCGATAATGAGCAGTGTTCCGTTTGGAAGTTGAAGCTCTCCATGTTCTAATATATCTTTATCGTAATTCTTGATAGGAGCAAACGCCACATTGGAAAGAAGCTCTGAAGTGAGGGGCAAGTGTTTTACCTGAAGATAGACAAGGATCAGTACACTACGATGAGAAAATAATTACCACGGGAACGAGAGATTGGAACATATCAACTATCTTTACTGGATCGGTGATTCCGACAAGGTTGAGAGGAATAAAGCTGATTGGCATACCGCCAGGGCGAGCATACGTTGTTGAGATCAAGTTAGTAAGAATCCACCCAGCAGTTGTGTCGTCGCCGAAAACGTTTGTGAGTGATTTAAGTAAACTTCTACCAGTTGTTTTTAAATCGGCTGAAAAGGAGAGTGCGTCATGAATGCTTCTGAAGAACCGACCTATGGATAACTGTTCTGGATACATAGAGGAGCAATTAATTGTATTATAATGTAAAACATGAAGATTTTTAACATTTTCCAAATTTGTGTTAGCTTCTCTAGAAAAATGGACAATTGAAAAGCATTAGTCCAGAGGAACTAACGAAGGATTCAAATCAAGAGAATGAGAAGAAAGAATTCCATACATCTCCAAAACTGTGTTAACAGGTATCTCTTCAGCCTCATCCCCGATGAACTGAAATCTTGAAATTAAAGAAGAGCTTCGATGACACTTTACAACCTTAGCAATGAATTTGTCTAATTTTTCCACGGGCATACTGCTCAAAGATGAATTAGATGTTCCTAAAGAACATTTGAAAACAGAAGCACATTGTAACCAACTTGAATCCTGGATATCAATCTTCTCCATCCAAGTATGAACGCCAGGAATTTCCACAATCGAGTAGCAATGACGACCGACTTGTCCATCGAAATCAACAACTTTCTTGAACAGATATGTTAAACGCAAAATGGAACTAGAGCTAAACTGATTCTCCCATATTCATGATGTCTCGACAAAGCATAGTAGACAAGTGAGCTTGTGAATTTTCTTCTACAGTACAAGCCAAGCATACATATTCTGTAACAATCAAGCTTCAATTGTAAATTTCCCTTGAATAACCTGATCCACGATCATCCTGAACCATTCCACGAACTCGAACAAACTTCTGGTCGTTTTCTAAAATGTTGGTGGTGTCCGGAAGGTTTTTCTGAAGTAATATCAATAGAAGGGACAAATAGGCTGTTCTTACCTCCAAGTTACGAAGAACATCACCAAGGAAGAGACTTGGGTCGTTTTTATAAGTTTCAAACTTCTCTGAGATCAAAACAGACTGTATAGAATATCAACTCTCTGAATCTCACCTCGGAAAATTGTGTCAAGTATAGAAGGCCCTGCTGGTACGACTTCCATTTTTCTAGAAATGAGACTTACTTCGAGAATATCGAGCAATATATATAAGAAACAAAATTCACGATATCAACATTGCATGAGATTGAGATTTTCAAATTTCCATTATCTACCGACAATTATCTCATTTCCATTTTCTGTGGACTTCGATGAGGATCGGTTGTGTTTGAATTTCACATAAAACGCGCCAGGCTCCTTTGTAAACGCCGTGCGCTCGTGTTTTCTCTCATTTTTTGGAGCTTTTATTTGTTGATGATTGTTCATTGATTTGTAAGCTTTTCCGTTTTTAATAATTTATAGCTAATGAGCATCTGCATTCACACTATTATATGCTTTTCAGATCAAAATAGAGTAAATTATTGGATTAGGAAGTTTAATGTCTTTTGAGATTGGCTCACGCATTATAACAGGTGAATCTTTATCTTTTTTCTATCGAAATATGTTAGGTGTTCTTAGAAAAGAATGGTAAAGGTCGTGTAGCTTTCTTCGGTGCGACTAAATTCGCAGATGGAGATTGGGTGGGAGTCATTCTTGATGACCCCAAAGGTAAAAATAATGGAACCGTTCAAGAAGTTGCTTATTTCCAATGTGAGGAGAAGTATGGTCTGTTTGTAAGGCCAACACAGGTTTCACTATAATGCGAGAGTACTTAATTTCAATTATTTTTATATTAGATCAAGTTAGAAGCTGATATGATCAAAACTAGATCTGGCGGAGCTTTGAAAGCCCCGGCATCAGTGTTGAAAAGTGCAAAGCCTTCGCCAAAGGTAACTCTTCCATTATTAAATTATGGGACAAAATGTATTTAAGACAAGTCCGAAAATGAGTCCAGCAGCATCAATGGAACGAATCGTGAAAGCAACACCATCGAGAAAAAGTTCATCAATAGCTAAAGCTTCCGATGCGACTGACGTAAGCTGCTTTTATAATTTATCTGCTTTCCACTATTTGTTTTCATAAACATTTTAGAAAAATAAGCGCAACACCCGAGCTTCCACTGCTGAAAAATCTTCCATAACGGTATTATAGTGATATGTGCTCGCATTTTCTTTCTCGTGCGCTGTTAACTGCTTTACCTCTATGCGTTCTATAGCTTAATCCTTTATTTTCATTATATTAAGTTCATTTTAATTGTTTTAGCCTTCAATCTCCCGGGAAGCTTCAACATTATCGCAGTCTGATGCTCCATCTAGAGCTATTCCTGTTATTCATGAGAAAGGGTCGCCTAATTCCGAAACAGTCCAAGCTAGAGTGAGGAAAATGGAGGAGGTGAGATTTTCGAAACTTCTCTGTGAAATTTTTTTTGAAGACCGGAACAGCTTCTTTATCTTCTCCAAAAACGGAAATCCCTGAAGATATGGATTTGGCCACTCAGAACGAATACCTACGAATGGAAGTTAAAGATTTGGCAGAAAAAGTAGAAACTCTAAGGTATTTTACATAATGATCCTTTTTCTTTCCTAACCATAATTTTCAGATATAAATGCAAGGAAAATCATGCCAAGCTTCAAGAATCGGAAAGAAATCATGTTCAATTGCAATCATTAAATGAACTGAAGACTAAACTCACAGATCAGAACCTTGAGTTAATACGGCAAGTGGAGGAAGCTAAAAGAGTACGATTCACAGAATTATACGCGCACTTATTATTATATTCAGGAAGCGGATGAAATTCGCGAATGGCGTAACGTGAACCAGGAACAAATGAGCAACGCAGCTGAAGAGCTGGAAATGGCCTTGATTGATAAAGAAATGGCGGAAGAAAAGTGCGATATTTTACAGAAAGAGGTGTTTTGGATTTCATCAATTGGTTTCATCCGGCGTATTCTAGTGTGATGCTCACAAAGAGAAGGTAGACGAGCTTCAAGCTGATTTGGAGATTCTAAGGGAAGAGATGTCCAGTGGCGGAGGCGCGGCTCCGGAAGGCAACAGTGTACAAATGAAGCAACTCGAAGCTCAGAACGAAAGATTGAAGGAAGCATTAATCAAGTCAGAGTTTTGTAAAGTGCTGTTGCAATACATCTTTTTTCAGGTTGCGTGATTTACATGGTCAAGCACAAGCTGATATGCAAATCGCTCAGAAAGAGGCTGAAATTTTGAGAAGCGAGCATAGTGAACTTATTAGGGCTGCTGAAGTCGCACAGAACGTTGCTAGTGAAGCTGAAAAACGGGTTTTGGATTACAGGGAACAGGTAATATTTCTAAAATTTCTTTATGTTATGAGTAGTACAAGGTGTGAGAATTTCCAGATATATTATACACACCTTTTGGAAGAGGTGGGGTAGTATAGTATTAGTTTTTTCTTGTGAAGCATGCAGTTGTAAATTATATTATTGTAGTTTTAACTCCCCATTTTCAGATGGAAGCTGCAATGGGAGCAGAAGAAATGATTATGGCTTTGACTAACAAAAATATGGATATGGAGGAACAAATAAGGTTTATTGTGCACATATAATGCTTCAAAATACTGTACTGCGTTTTAGATCTTTGGAGCAAGAGAAAGAAGATTTGGAAGCTCTTCGTGATATGGACGAACAGATTGCGGAGGCTCAAAAGCAAGTAGAACGTGATCTATTGAAGGATATTGAACTACAGCAGATCAAATTCACTGAAGTTTGATAGTTTTGAATGTATAATTAATTTACTGTTGATGCTATAGTTCATTCAAAAGTTGAAAGATGAGGAAAAACACAGTGATGATCTGATGGCGACTATCATCAAATTCCGACAGAGAACTACTGAGCTCAATGAAGAAATTCAAGATCTCAAGGATCAGGTAACTTTTCTAAAACCAAACTTGTTAGTATAGATATGATTAAGATCCTTCGATATGAAGAACGGTTATCTGGAGAACAAATCGACGAGAAGAACATTGCGAGCATGGCTAGTCAACTACAAGTTAATGCATCCAGAGCATTCGTGGAGGTTTGAATTTTTTCTATATCTTAAGAGATAGTATATTTTTAAGTCCGTTGAGAGACAGCTTAGTCTCATTGATTTGGAATTTGCTCGGAAACAAGCTGGTTATCTTAAAGCTTTCCTACCAGATAATTTCACCCGTCCTGGAGGTATTATTATTTTCTCATAGGGAAAAATTATTTAATTTTAGGTGACAACGACGCCGTGTTAGTGAATGTCCTGTTTCCTCGTTTATCTGCCAAAGCTGCTCTGTTTACGAAGCTAGTTGCTGAAAGAGTGAGAAAAGTATTTCGATGATTTTTTACATTTTGTTAATGTCAGTTCCCTGGTGTTCCTGGAGGGATTCGTCGAGAGCATGTCACCAAATCTCATAAGGCAGAGCAATGGGCTCAATCTGCTCGTGTTAATCATATGTGTAGTGCATTGATTTACATATGCGGACAGTTTGAGAGGTTCTCATTTTTTCATTTTTGTTAGTCATGTTTTTCTTTATAGTGCCATCCAATGCATGACGATTGAACAGTTAGCTAAACTATCTCAACTACAATCTGAAATGTCTATTCATGAAAAGTCTGTCGATTCCTTTATAGAATTATTGAGACAAGGAAGATTTGATGAGAATACTTCTCTTGAAAATCTCGAGAAAGCTGTCATGTATTTCCAAGTATTTTATGATTCTTTCAAAACGTTTATCTATTCTTTACTTTAGAATGTTTTCTCTATTCATGTTGGTGGCGACGAGTTCGATGCTGCTAAATACGTTTCTCTCGTATGCAAACATATAATGGCTGGTACAGATTGGGCTAAAGTTAATACTCAGAGAATCCTATTTTTCTTATTGGTAAGCAGTGTTTGCTCTAATTAATTAGGATTACATCGAACACTTCAGGAGGGAAATGAGGAGAGTGACGTGTTCAATGTTATCACCAATATTGAAGGTGATTTAGAAAGGTTCAAGCAATTAGCTATTAGAGCTAGCAAACGTGTTCCGAATGATCGCAAATTGAGACTTTTACCTGAGGTATCATATATTCATTGCTATAGTTTATCTCTGTTTTCCAGTTCTCGGATGATATTCAAGCTATTGTTTCGAACATGAATAGGTTCGGGTCATTGTTACACGAAGCTTCTAGTATTGCAAGTCTTCAAATAATCATAAACCCAGGTATATTTACAAACTTGTTGTAGCTTGCAGAAGATTATATTGTTGTTTTTGTTTAGAACCTAACGGATTCGAAGCTGGACGTTTAAAAGAAATTATTCATGGAGTTGTTGAGAAGTTTAATGGCTCAATAACATTAGAGAAAGCATTCGAACCAGTACAGTGAGTATTCTTTTTCTATACATTTAAAAATTGGACGTATTATAGGAAACTCACATCAACCATTTTCAAGAATATGGAGGATATTGTGAATATTCTTGACTCTGGCTCAATGGAAGAACCTGAAAACAAAGATAAGAAATCCAAAGTTTATCCGGCTATGTTGGAGAGAGCCCACCAAAGAAAACAAGCTGCATCAGAAGCAGAAGGATTACGTTGGCAATTGGAGAAGAAAGATGCCGAAATTCTTGATCTCAAGAAGAATATAAAGAGCAGACTTGAAGATATCAGCAATTATAAGGCATCTTTTTTTTCTAAAAAGAGAGTATTCATAACTTTCGTTTTTTCAGCTGCGCTTAGAAATGGCTGAAGCTCGGATGGATTCATCTGGAAAACAGGAGAACGCGAAGTCCCAATTGCTTGAAACTAAGATTGATCAATTGAATTCTGAGCTCAAGAAAAAATCTATGTACGTTTTTTTACTTTTTTCATGATTAACCGTTTTGTTTAGCGAGTACGATGAGGCTCTGGATACCATGAGCAAAGAGCTCAAGAGTTTGGAGAATGAAAACGAAGAGTTGAAGAAGAATCACAAAAATATTGCCAAGAGAGTTTTGCTTCAGGTTTATTTTTTTTCTTTGCTTCTCAAATTTTTCTGCTCAGAATATTCAAACTATGGAAAGCAGAGCTGCGACGTCGTCTTCAAGTTTGGTCAACACCCCCATATCTAATGTCGGTAAAGCTGAGCTTAACTTGCTGGAGCTTCAGCTCTCTGAGTGTCAGTCATCCCTACGTGCTACTGTTCTGGAAAACGTCAAGTTGAAGGTTTTCATTTCCTTGTTTTGTTTTTAATACTCGAATATTAAGAGTGAAATTGCCAACTTGAATAACCCAGGAGGTGTGCTCCAAGTGCCTGATTGGATTACGGGACCAGAAACTTTACGTGCCTCTTCTCGTGATGATGTACTTAGTCAAATAACTAGAGAAGCAGAGCAACTGAAAAGAGTAGGTTTGAAGATGAAATTCAAAGCTATTTTCTTCTTCCAGGATGAACTTCTGTATATGGTGTATATCCCAGACTTATCACTTCCCAAAAACAAAAGAGATGAACTTGAAACTCAGTTCGAGAAAGAAAAGCAATTATATAACGACAGAGTGGAGACGGTTCGTGAATTCCGCACGTAACCCTTTGAAACTTTCCATTTCAGCTACGATGCAGACTTAGAAGGTACTGGGATGAGAGCTGTCCAGGAGAATCGTTCCCCAGTGGAAGCTTTGGCTTTGAACCGGAACCAGTACAATCAACGGTATGATAACTTGCTCTTACGAAACCTATGTATTTTTTAGGTATTGGAATCGGAGGAGCCTAGTTTCAACAGTGTTCTGTCCAGTTGGGGAATCAAAGTTTAGTGGCTTAATTTATGAAAAACAGAGCGAGGCCAAAATGCTGGGTTAGGTATGAATTTAAACTTATTGGTATCTTGAAAAGTTCGAATACTGGAAATAGCTCAGCTGATATAGAATATTCTTCTCATTCATTGCTTCTAACTATTCTATTATAATAAGACAGTCAAATCAAACTCTTTGATCATTTTCAATCCAAGTTTTTTGTTCCCATAACTTTACTAATCTGCTTTCTCTATTTTCGCGTGTAATAATGTATGTTACGGTCCTTTTCAAGAATTTTATGCACAGTTTTCGTAGTTTCATTCTAACATAGTTTATAACTCACTTACGGTGCTTCATATATTTCTTCTGCCGCTGTAAATATTGTGTCAATCACCTTTAGAGCGTGTCTATGCCATGTGATATGCCTTATTTATTTTTGAAATAATAAAATACACATTTTAGCGAGGGACATAACTGTATATAAGCGAGTTCTGCATTCAATTATACTAGTAATATCTGAACTTCATAATCTTCGCTCAGAACTGTTGCATTCGATTTGAAACTTTTTTTCATTGAGATGCTCAGTCTTTTCTAGAATACGTAATGAGATCATTATTGAGTATTCTAAATAAGTGCATTTTCATTAGCCTAGTTTTCGCTTCCTATGTTATTTCCGTTGGTCGTTCGGCTACAACACAAGCAGATTTCCGGATTTATTAAAGCACGCAACGGGAGTCTTTGTTTTCCAATTATGCTTCACGTAGCGAGGAAAATCTAACGCCAACTGTTTCTAAAGTTTACCGAAGTGAACCACCGCATGAACTGGGAAACTATAGAAAGAAGAGCGGATGAAGTGGCGGGGTGGAGGCTGTAGGCGGGTACTAGTATACTGGGCGTGGCTTCTGCAGGCAGCCAGCTCTTTCAGTCCAAGCCATTTCTCCCTTCTTTGTAAGATCATAGGACTTTGCTGTTTCTGTGATCGAAGGTGCTCAAGGCTCTATATATTCCCAAGTGATTGCTGAAGTCGCTACTCTACATAAACACCTGCTCCTGAAATGGGATCATTGAAGTTAGTTTTGCTTTTTATTGTTTTCATAGTTATTTTTTGCTCCAACTTCCCATTAACATTCCCTCAACTGGTAGTTGTGAGACTAGTCATCTCGCAATATTAACTTACTACTAATGGTGTTATGAAAGCAAGCAGAGCGTTTCTCATTGAATGCGTGTGTACGTTGATTAGATTATGAGTAATTGGAACATTTCCAAAGAGATGTTCAACTCAGTCATTATTCTATAAAGATCTAAAGTTTGTTATATTTATCATTCTTCTCTTTATGCACTTATATTGCGTTTGGAAGATTAGTGGCGAACTCTCGATTGATATTCTGAAGCACATCTTCGTTTGAAAAGCGTTTTTTCTCAATCCAGCAAACTCATTCGAACTTGAAGCACAAGAAAAACAATGAAGTTCATCATTACCTGTCAAAATGTTTTACTCGCCTGCTGAACTTTAGTTGATATTTTCATGAATTTCAAGAAAATATATTTGAAAGCGTGCCTGGAGAGTATCAACGTGAATGCTTTGTTGTTTAGTTCAAGTTTTATATTTGATCTATATATTCGCTCGAATCATGATTATTGGGGCATGTTTGAAAAATATTTCACGATAACTTGATGCTATAGGATTCATTTTAACTTTGAGCTCTCTTTTTTTGGTAAAAGCTCTGTAGCGTTTGCTATATAAGCTGTATAATCCAAGCTATGCACACAGCTTCGCATTAGATTCATTGAAATAGTGAAACAATCAGGGTTAATGTTCTTTCAACTTTTTGTGTTCTCTTTTTTTTCTTTCTCTTGAAACTTTGGTCCTAGCCTCTGCTTGCTGGGTGGGCACGTTTCCCTAGTGATCCATCAACAATGAGATAGAGAGTAAGAGAGAGACTCGGAATTACTTTAAAAAGCAATTAAAGAACGAATAACGAATCTACCGAGCGACAAAAAAAAGCTGACCATTGAGAGGTGACTGAAAACGTAATTTCATGAATCTTTGCTCGTATTTTGAGAACAACCATCAATATACCTGTCAGGTAATCCAGGTTTTATGTTCCGGCAAATTATGCACGTAATAGTTTTGGACATTATTTCCATTTCAAATTAAAGAAAAAACGGAACAATAGACAGATGATGAAGGTTGAGCATATTGGACCAGTAGTAGTAGCAATGCATAGAGAAGCAGCATAATTCAATCAGCTGAATAATGTTCATAAATGGGAGTCAGCGAAAAATAATAGTTTATGTTATTCAATATATTTGTTTTCTTCCTAACATTCTGTCATATATGCTTGAGGATTTAGCAAAATTATGTTTAATTACGATGAAAATTTATTATCCACAAAACGCTAGAAGCTCATTGCCCTTGCTCTCGCTCACTTACTCTCCTTCTCCTTTGACGATCTAGCAGCTTAATCATCACGGAATTTTGGTGGTGTTTTTGTGTGTCATGAAAAAAAAGAGAAGGAAAATGTAGAAATCGCCTATTTCCTGAACTGAACAGAATGCCTTTGAAGAAAAACAAAAATCTGTCCGATTTCGATAAGTTTCAAGTGTTGATCCAGCTTATGTCAATGATTGAAGTGTAAAGCGAAAACCAAACAAATGGATGTTGTGCTGGCAGCTGAATCGAGTCTAATTCTACGTTTGCTCTTTAACGGGTGTTAAATGGCAAATTATTAAAATCGAAGCAGATTGTGGAGGGAGAGAGAGAGAGAGAGAGAGAGAGAGAGAGAGAGAGAGAGAGAGAGAGAGATGAGAGGAATAGTTTCTTGAACAATCCCTCACAAAGCTTGATATAGTCGGCCTTGCGACGAATGGACGACGAAAAGAAAGCTTGATGATTGCTGCTGAAAATGAAGCCTGAACTTTCATCAGCTGTCGAATAATTCAGAAGAATCTTTTGGAAGCTTCCACAAATCTTTTTGTTCATTCTGTCCTATTACAAATTGAAAAAAATATAATAATGTACTTGATGTTTTCGAAATACCTGCTGAATTAGCAGAAATTTAGGGAGCTTTTCTGAAATTCATTTTCAATGGTATGAGTTGGGTGTGACATTCATATTGAAGTGAGTAGTTTTGAACGAAAAAAAAAGAAAGAAAAAAGAAAAAGAAACCTTAAAGGCTCCTATGTGTCCGCACCGTTTTATTCAACCGTTGATCGTTTGCTTTGGATTACTGAATAACATGAATGAAGGAAAATAATAAAAAATAGAAATTAGAAATTCCAAAGAAGCTTAAATGAAGGCACACGAAAACAGATCTTTTTCTGACATCGGTAAATCTTGCTTTTCTTTTGCCATCTTTTGTATGAGCAATGCATTCCTCTTTGTTTTCTACTGTCCTTGCCATTCTCTCTCCCTCTCTCTTTATATCTTTTTCCCTCTATCTTGCTCTCTCTTTCCCTTTCTCAATGCTTCGGACAAGTCGAACAAAAAAACGAAAGAAAAGTAGTTAGCTAAAAATTAAGTTCAAATACTAAATAGCTTGCTAGATGTACTACTGAGAATCGGGCATGTACATAGGAAATGAATCACATATTCATTCTTTTGCTCGTTTCCACTATTGACATCGCTTTTTAATGAACAATCTTATGATTGCAAATAATGGAGAAAATACATTTTCTAGAAATTAATGAAAGATGTCTCATTTGGTGTGCAAATGAATCAAATCGTGCACACAAGTGTTTCAGTTGTTTTCTCATCACACTCATACTCACACACATACACACAAGCATACTCACATAGACACAGAGATACATACAAACGCATAAACACCATTGGAAGTCATTCACATCATGCAAACACGAACTTTATTAAATATTTTAATAAAAAAGGAAATGTATAATGGTGAAGCTTTTGAATGAGCCTATTAGTGCAGTTAGTCTATTCAGCTATCCGATTGTATTGTTCCCTATGGATGTCGTTTGCTATCTCCGTAATAACATTAAAATTTGGGTTCTGAACTATCCAGATGCAGTCGAAGTGAATGAGAGTTCAAATGAAGAGAAAAGAAGAAGAAAATGAAAAAACACTGTTCAGTGTGTTCTCTCTTATTCTCTCAATTCATCTTAGATTAGTCAATCGTTTCTCTTTTTATTTTTCTTTCTTTCTGTCTTGAATGCTGTGCCACAAGCCTAAAACCAATTCCATTCATCCATCTAAAAAGATAAAGCAGTCAAACGGACTAAGCAGTCCCCAAGTTGGCTCAAGTTTTCATGGCCTTCTGCCTTTTAGCTCTATCTCATTCTCTCTCTTTTTCCCCCCCACACTCCGGAAAGGTGTTCAAACATATGACCGAAGCACGTGTTGCCATTTTAAGAATATTTGGTCGAAATACATCCTGAAGCATTCAACTATTTTTTCTCTCCTCCATAAATTTATTTTTGGAATTGAAGGTAGAACTATCAACAGAATTCATGAATGATTCATTGTAACCTTTTTTCCATAAAAGCAAGTCATGCTCCTAATGACATTAGCACATTGAAGGTTATGCTAATGAATAGTGCAGCATGTGCATACGTCGAATTCCACGTGGTTATTCGAATTGGTCATTTGTTGTTTACGAACTCGCATAAACGGTTGTGATTATCCAAAAACTCCGGCATCAAGTCCCTCAATCGTGGTTGCGCGACTAATCTTTCTGAATATTTCACTATAAGCTATTAGACTTCTTGACATGAATCTAATTAAACTAATTGTCTCTTAAGCTATTCTTTGGGGGGAGAACAGAAAGATCTGTTTGAAAATAATTATCTATGTAGTTAAATAGTTAAATCTTTGGTCCAAGAATGTAAATTTGGACGCAGGAGCACGTGAGAAGCAAAACGGAAGCTCCTTCCATATATCGAGTGGACGTCAGATTCATGGTAGAAGTTCGTTTCAAGCAAGCTGTCACCTGTCAGAATAACTTTCCTTCCTACTCGTCCGCTCTTATTTTTTTGGAGAACTATACTAGATGAAGATAAAGAGAGATGATTGGATGAAGTGAAGAACAAGAGAGAGGGAGAGAGAGAGAGAGAGGGAGGGGGTGAAGGGTAGTAACTATAATAAACTATAAACACGTAAATGAAATAGAAATATGAGATAAATGATGAAAAACAGAACCTAAGTTATTCCTATAAACAAATGACTTTGGTAAGTCGGAAGAGAGATTGCATATTTGAAAGTCAAGAGTTTATTTATTGATACGATATGAAACATTCAGAAGAGCACGTGAGATTTGTGAATTTTGATCATTCCAAACATTATTTTCTTCGTTTGCCATCCTCTCTGAAATCGTTTCCTCCCTTCTTCATTTCTCTCTCTCTCCCTCTCCATCTCTCTTTCCGATTGTTTTCATTTCATTTTCGATACAGTTTGCTTCAGCTTTTCCTTTTGTTTCAATAATTTTCTTCCGGAAGTTTGTTGAAAATTGTTAACTTTTGAACAGCTGATTTTCCAGCTCAAGCAAGTCAATGTTCATAGACGTACTTGCGAATTGTATACATTCAGAAAGGTTTGAAAAGAAGACATAGCTAGAGAGAAAGAGAAAGCGAGATGACTAAGGGTGATGACATGATGTGAAGAGTGAGCCGGCTGAAATTGGAATGGACTGGGTTCCAGAATATCAGATTACGGGGACGAGGCGTGAAATGAAAAGTCAAAAGAGCATCATCTTCATTGATGCTTCGATATAGCCACCACACAGACAGGGACACACATGCGGCTCTTGTGCAATAGCTTCATAGGGCACGCATCTATAGTCTAGAAAGGGAAGAAAGTCAACAAGTGGCTATTCTTTTTCACATAATATATGACACCAAAAGGGGCCAGAAGCTTATGTCTCATCGTTAAAATATCTTTTTTTCCTCTTTTGGCATTTGTCTCTCTTCTATTTGCCATTTAACATTTTCCCTCTCCTGCTCTTATTTTCCCTCTAAAACATTCGATTGAAAACTAATAGGGGAGCTGAAGTCTTTCCACCTTATTCACATGGTTAAACTTACTCATACTAAATATGGACAAAATGAAAAACGACTTGGAACGCAAGACGCCAAATGGCCAAAGATGGTCCATCTGAACAAACAAAGCCAGTCTAACTTATTGTTCATAACCATTATCTCATTTTCATTAAATCACATTTGAAGCACCGTCTCTCTAACCCCCAAAATGACAGAAGCTTCTTCATTGCTTAGACTTATGAGATATTTCGTCCCAAAGGACTTTGAGCCTGATGAGACACACCAACGCAATTGTACGTAGTGAGTTGCGAAAAAGGCTTAGGAACCCGGGATCTAGCATCTCCAAAACTAGACAGGAGAATATTTATGCGTATCGAGTGTTGATAGCCATTTGTTCAAAAATCTAGAGTTGCCTTAGGCTCTTCTGCTCAATTTCTATAGAAGGAAGGGGGAAGCAAAAGTATAAAATGACAAACCAAGTTCAGTAGAACTTTCTCTCGTTTACTTCATCATCTGTTTGATTATTTTGTTTCGCCGCCATTTCATCACGCAATTTCAGATCTTTTGGTCATCAACTTGCTGATTCAGTTCGACGTCTGCTGCGTTCGCCTCGTCAAACGCCCAGCCGAATGTTTTTTAAACGCCGTGATGGTGGAATGGATACATATTCAGATTTAAGGTTAATTTTCGCATAAACGAAAGTTCATGCAACTGCTTCTTCTTACTTTCAGCACACCTAATTCAACTCGTAGTGTTTCGTTCATTGAAGCGATTTCCTGGCCTTTTATTGACGATGAAATCATTGAATGAAATCTGAAGTTTTCCATCAACCTCTTCAATAATTGAATGGTTCTTGGAAGATGAAAAGAATTTTCTTTTCTTTTTTTTTCATTTTTTTTGTTCATAGAAATCGTGTGATCTCATCCCGATGCGTACACTTTTTTGCTTTAAGTGTTCATTACAAATATCATTTTTCAATATGTATATAACTCATTCTGAATTCTGGGTAGTTCGTCTCTTCCTTTTTCCTTTTTCTCACAAAAAAAGAAATTTTTTTGAATCATATTACTCTGTTTGTTTATTTTGTTTTGTTTCAGATGATATTATTATTGCATTTATAACTGTATGTTCTCTACAAGAAGTATACTGTTCATGGTATGCAAGGTTCATGATAGACGGTTAACAAATAAAATCTTTTTATACATTTCATTTGTATCTTTCCCTCTAATCATACTACATATACAGTTGAGCAGCACTGTCTCAGCAGTACTGTACATGTACACAGCACAGAAGAATATACACAACCGCTCAATACATCCCACACACATCCGAAATGAAAATGACTGCTGTCCACCAACGTGGTGGTGGTTTACGTGAGACGATTGCGGGAAATATTTTAAATTTGAATACCTCGAAGATGAATTCAAGCGCGACGAAAATCTCGCAAATTATTGGAGAACCAGGAAGAAATTTACAGAGACTGCTTCCAAATAAATCCTCCTAAGGCCAATTATTATGAGAACTATGGCAGAAACAACTGAAAGGAAAAGGAGAGCGTGAAAAAGGGAAACAAGAAAGAGAGAAAAAAAGAGGTAGAGAGGTAGAAAGAGAGAGTGGGGAGAGAGAGAGAAAGGAAAAATAAAAAAAGAAATTGTATGCCATCAAAAAAAAGAAAAATTTTTTTTGCTCGAATTGTTAATATGAGACATTTGAAAAGCTTTTTTCGTCATACGTTCAGTGATTGTTTATAATCTAATAAAATTATAAACATTCAGAAGCTAAGCGTGGAAAATTCCAAAAAAGGAATCAAACGTATCCACAAAGGCTTAAATACAGCTTATGTGTCATCAAATAATTTAATTAAATTGAAATAAGGCCATGCTATTTTTGCTTCTTCCGCAACAACAAAAACATTTTGATGATAGAGCGCAATCACAAAAAGGAAGAGAGAGAGAGAGGGAGGGTGAGAGAGAGAGAGAGAGAGAGAGAGAGAGAGAGAGAGAGAGAAGGAGATCAACAGTTAAGACCTCAGAAATGCTCTTCGAGCTCTGTAATCTTACAAAATTCCTGAATTACAATCAGCAAATGAAGGATTTTCAGTCGCAGGTGATGTCGCAATCTAATTACGTAGGTGAATTGTGACAATTCCATTCGTGCTCTATCTTCAATAGCTTATTCAGAGGTTTTCCGGCAGCTTCAAAGAATTATCTGAAAATTGGAAAGACCGTAGTACATGCTGTTACCAAAAGCCTATTTTGGTATGAATAGACTGGATAGCCAATTACATATCTTTAAACTCTATGAAATCGTGGGTGCAGCAATTTGAGTAAGAAAAATGGAAACAACTTGAAACATGAATGCCCACATGCATCTCTGATTCTTCACTCTGAACTCTCAGCATAGGAGCAATGAACATTTTTTCCAAAAACTGCTCAACCACCATTATTTCTGCAGTTTCGAGATAATTATTGTTTTTTTTTCTGCTTAGCAGTTCAAGAAAATAGAAACATATGTGTCTATGAAGACAAATTGAAAAAAATGGCGAAATCTCCAGCAGACCCCTCGTATCCGTGAAGTAATGAAAAAGAAATGTGAGATTGTTCGTTCGTACTTTAGTTGAATATGACACTACCTCTCAAAACACCAATGATACGTGGATGTTGACAGAAAACAAGCAAAAAAAAGCTTTTAAAACTCATCAATGGGTTTGGATTAGAAAAGATTGAGTAACAAGTGTTTGCAAGAAACAAACGTTGTGAAAGCGACGATGATGAAGACGAAGTTCAGAAATTAGAAGAAAGTATTTATCAAAACATCTAATTGTAATAGATAAAATAACACAGAACAATAAGTAGTCTAGATAACAAGAGAAAGAAAAAC